CTTCTGACTTTTTGCTGCATTTCCCGAGCATACGTCTCAAAATTCTCATTGCAATGAAATGTGTGTACATCCAGTCTACCTGAAAAATCAATTGAATAAAGCAGAAAGCACCCATAAAGGAATTCCTCTTTTTGTCCCGTTTCTTCACGGAGAGGCAAGAGTCCTCTTTGTCGAGTCCGCTCCGCTTTAAAGACACAAGACATCCTTGTGGATAAAACGCAAACCGTAACTTGTTCCGATGTTTTCCGTGCTACTCTCTCTACTTAATTGTCCATGGAATACATTTTGAAATAAAAACTCTTAAGCCCGGCCCCGTCCGAGGAATAGTGCATTCACGAGACTAGAACGAGTGCTCGCAAAATGAGCTTTCTTGCAGTAATGTAGCGCGCTCGCCCTTCCGAGGACATCGAGCGTGCGTGTGAACTGTCCTGCCAAAGTATGACGTACATCTCCAGTTTGGTGGATTTGTCTTATGATTAGTTCCATGACGTCTTTGCTTTTGATAACGAGGACGGGCTTGGAGTAATTTTTGTAAAAGAACAGAATCGTGAATAATATCAACTATAAAGAAGTAGAATGCTCACACTCATTAGTTACCTGAAGTCAACCCTTGCCTTTCATATACATTTTTAGTCATTTTCATTCACATTTAATTTCCAAACATTTTCCGGCGATAATTAAAAAAACAAATCTGTTTGATGGGGTCATATTTTAAGTCATTTCCGTTTTCCTTGCTAAGAATTTCCTTTAAATATCAGTAAAATTGAACTTTGAAATAGTAAAGTTTCTCAGTTATAAAGAGAGATCTGAACAGGTACATAATTACCAAATAGGAACGAGGAAGATTAAGGAACGCGAAGAATTAAAAACTAATCGCAGATGGCGAAGTTCCAAGTTTTCTTGAAGTCGGGAAAAAAATAAAAATTTACAAAGAGTAAAAATTGATAGTACTGCATAGTAAGAAAAAAAGTGCCGTGACCAGGATTCGAACCTGGGTTATTGCGGCCACAACGCAATGTACTAACCACTATACGATCACGGCTGCCACTGCTGCTCACATGTACAGCAAGTTTTCAAACAGACAAAGCATATGCATCCTGGCAAAAATACCTTCTACCATACACATTCATACTTGCAGGAAGTTATAAATTTCTGTGACTATTTACGCCACTGTTCGTACAGTGTAAGTTCAGTGGTAGTGTTCTTCTGGTCGAGGACGGAGGAACATGCTGAGTGACCGCCAATCACATCCTGTACATAAGGAATCTTCCACCAATCACATCCACTACGTCTCGTGTTTCTCCCTACACTTCTTTCGTGCTCTAGCCGCTTCCTGCGTGCTTTATAACAGAACAGAGCACAGTCAAGGCTTCTCTATTTGTTAATTAATTTCGTAAAAGAACAGAATCGTAAAAAATATCAACTCTAAAGAAGTAGAATGTGCTGAGTACTCCACTCACTAGTTACCTGAAGTCAACCCTTCCCTTTCATTCACATTTTAAGTCAATTTCATTCACTTTTTCAATCATTTTCCGTCAAGAATTTAAAAAAACAAATCTGTTCAATGGGAACATATTTTAAGTCCATTCTATTTTCCTTGCTAAGAATTTCCTTTAAATATCAGTAAAATTGAACTTTGAAATATTAATGTTTCTCAGTTGTGAAGACAGATATAAACAGGTACATAATTACCAAACAGGAACGAGGAAGAATTAAGGAACGCGAAGAATTAAAAACTAATCGCAGATGGCGAAGTTCGAAATTTTCTTAAAGTCGGAAAAAAAAAGAAAAATTTACAGAGTAAAAATAGGTAGTACTGCAGAGTAAGAAAGAAAAAAGTGCCGTGACCAGGATTCGAACCTGGGTTATTGCGGCCACAACGCAATGTACTAACCACTATACGATCACGGCTGCCACTACTGCTCCCACGCATGGAACGTGGTCAAACAGACAAGTCATAAGCATCCTGGCAAAAATAGAGTCAATTACTCCCATACCTTCTCCCATACACATTCATACTTGCAGGAAATTATAAATTTTTGTGACTTCTGACGCCACTGTCCGTACAGTGGTAGTAAAGTGCCATTGTTCCTATGGTCAAGGACGGAGGAACATGCTGAGTGGCAGCCAATTATATCCTGTACATCAGGAATGTTCGACCAATCACACCCACTTGGAAAGGCGATCAAAAGTGTGTGCGACATTGCTTGTTCTAATATGTATTAAAAGACGTCGTTTAGGGACATTATCTGCCAAAATTATTCTTGGAAGAGGTGTACACGTTCGGTCGCTTTGCCTTTTTCTTTCTTTTTATATCTTTCTGACATCGATCGCGCGAATGTCGAAGTTTATACTTCTTACCAATTGAGATTCGTTGCTTGGCCACACAAGAGAAGCGGATGAGATGTTCAAGAAGAATTCGGAGCGGCAGAACAAGTGAATGAGTCGTAACTGATTTGCAAATTACCCAAAGACAGGTATCGATAGGCTCAAACAATTTAGAATTTTTAGAAATATTTTAAATAGCTAATTGCTAAGGTCCAGACCTAGGCGGTGTGCGCACTCCGATTGCGTTGGATTGTGGTAGCTTCGTTTTCAATATGGCGGAGAAAGCAGCAGAAATCGGCAGATTTTGACTGAACATTCCGTAAAAGTTAGGCCGTTCCTTTTTCCTTTCACCATAGGTAAATGTAATTTGATTTATTCTGAATGTGTAAAAGTATTTTTTGTACGTACTTGTCGCGTACTCTATGATTCCCAGGGACAAACGCAATCACTGTTTTTCAGTAAGTAATCTGAGACCGGTTTTCGAGAAGGTCAAATTTGATGTACGTGGTAGTTTGAAGCCTTTCAAAGATTTGGATGGCCGCTTTGATCCTTCTTCAACAGCTCAAACCAAACGCTCTCAAACAAACGCATTTTAAGTGATAGTGTTTGAGACCGATGATAGCCGAGAAGAGGCCTATTGTTGCGTTGCACAGCGTTACCATCGCTTACTCAATTGTGTTGTAAATCTATTTTCCTAAGTAAAAGGAAATTTATTAATGGCGAGTGTTGTATGGAAAATCTACTATCTTGATCACTGAATGAAGGACAGATGAATTAAAGCAACAAAAGGAGTCACTTGACGAATAAATAACTCTACAATGCACACGGCGACACGCCGGATAAGCCGGAAAACAGAAGGCAGTCGATGGTTAAAAGGTGTCGATTGACTTGTGCGACTCCTTCCATTCGCTTGCGCTTTTAAATCTTCTGACCCGAAAGCTTAGCTGTTATTAGGATATCTTTTAATGACTTTTGTTTGCGACGTGATAATAAAGGTTAGTTTTAAGGTGTCATTTCTCCATCTGTATGTTCTTCTTCTTTGTGCGCGCTATTTTTTTCGTTTTCAGGTATACTGTGTCTCCCGCATAAAATAACTCCAGAGATATGTTTCTAAAAACCTTATTCTCGGTATTCTTTATTCTTTAAGCATATTTGTAACTCTGTACGTTTTTTATTAAACGTTGAGCGTGACGAATTTGGTCGTAGGAGGCGTAAGGCTTCTCCTTTCGCGAATCCCGCATTTACGCCTTTAAGTGTATGACATGAAACGTAGTTCGTGAATTAGAAGATCGCTGTCTCTTTGTAATGCATTTGCATGTCAAGGGTCGATTCCCCGTTAAATAAATCGCGAATTTGATATTATTCACACAGCCATCCGGCTGTGAGTGTAACTGCTCCTAAATGAATAGATTCACGGGCAAGACTGCAATTTCAATTCTTTCTGAATCTCTTCAGTTGCCTCCCAATAACAAATTTGCCACGGAGGAAGGACACTTTTTAACTTTCGAAGGAACGGCAACAGCCAGTGAATCCCCATTACATTCTCGCTGCCACCAGAGATGTTCACGTGACAGAATGCAAATGACTTACTTTTCGTTTTACGACCATGATGCAACGCAATCAGAGTGCGCACACCGCCTGCGTTGAATGGTGTGTCGCAACGGAAGTACCAAACGGATTTGTTTTAAACATTCTCGAGAAGTAACAGATTGGTATAAATAGCAAGTAAACTTTTTTTTATGGTGAAGATGTTCACATCGAGAAGTTATAAGGTCTTAATTGGGTTATAGGCTGATAAATTTGTAAAGGAAGAATGGACGATCTGGACTAGAGCTCAAAAATACTTAGCAATAATATATATAAATTATATTCACTTCAAAAAGAATGCGTACGAGTCTTGAGCATTGATCTAATCTAGCACGGAATTTACTCATAGGATGCAGAAATATTAGACTTTTTAACCAACTCAAAATCGTCACGTTCTTATAAAAAAAATTCAGAAAAACTTGAGAAGTCGCTCAGTAACATGGACAAAAGTTTATGCATGTCTACGGAAGTGTTCGCCTTAATTAAACGCATGTGCAGTGGGTTGGTCGGAACCCTTAAAGTCCCTAGAGGTCAACTTTAACCTTGTCCCACTTAGTTAAGCAACAAACAATAGATTCTTATATAGAGGAAAACAGGCCTTATACATGAACGTGCTCGCTTAACGGCAGCACATATACTAAAATTGGAACGATACAGAGAAGATTAGCATGGCCCCTGCGCAAGGATGACACGCAAATTCGTGAAGCGTTCCAAATTTTTTGTTTTTTGCGGCAGAGATAAATTAAATAATCTATATGTACTTTACTTCCGCTTTTTGCTCAAAATTACAAATATTAAATAGAGAGCGTTACTTCGCCAAACAGACGATTCAATGGCTATTATAACCCGTAAACTAGTATTTTGTATCCAAACTGTCGCTTCTTCCGTAAAAAAATTGCAAATTTAGGCCGAAAATGTATAAAAAGAGTGAAAATGCGCATAGAGCGACACTCTCGCAAGAGTCCACGATCGCGCTCGAATGCGTGGCGCGCGCTAACGAGCTAACGCACGCGTGGATCACATACGAAGCATTCGAGTGCTTTTCTACGCAGAAGACAGGTAGCGGTATCCTTTGGAATTTTTCAATATGGCGGACAGACATAAACATTTGTCGTTCTGATTTGTGTAAGTGGTGTTGCAAACTCTTTAGAATTATTATCAGCAGTTCGAAAACCAGTCATCTTGTTTACAAAATGGCAGCCAATCTCGTACATCATAAAGGTATCCTGCATTTTTCTTACTAATTTTATACCTGTTGGTACTTAATTTATATCAATTTTGGGTCTGCGGTGGAAAGATGACTATAATTTCAAATGAAGAATTATTACGTGGATCAGACATTGACGTTTTGTCGTCTGTTTATGGGAGCACACAAGGGTGTTAATGAGAAATCAATCGTTTTGGTATTTTTTGCTCTGAGCTCAGGGTTCAAAATAACAGCCGGCTGCCCGCGGCAGCAGCCGGAACTTTTAGCACCTTTACCAGCGATTTTTCACCGAAGAAGTAGAATTTTATGGAAAATATGATGGTTATTGATCGTCCAGCTGAAATAAAAGTCGCTGTCATGTTATGGTGAACATTTCATATCATGCAATGAAGCAGCCAAGAAATGTTTAAAAAGCTTTTTGGAAACGTAAACGAGTATAAAGTTTCGAAATTTGAAGCATGCTACGAGGAGGAATTTTGTTTATAGTATTCAGCTTTCTACGTATTTGTTCAAGCGTGAACCATGCAAGTTTGTGTACACACCGTCACATTACCGTGTTTATGTTTCTGCACGTACATACTACCTTAAATCGAGATTAATTTTCCGCCAAATTCTGTTTAATATCGTTTTTAAAGCCTTCTCACGCGTTCAAAGTTAAGTTGGAATTTGACAGTACGGATTTCCCATAGCTGTGAATGGAGGAGCGCGACAGTTTGTCTAGTCAAAGTTGTATATTTCACACTTGAACAAACACCAAAAAATTGAACCATTCACTAGGCTGTGTTGGAAAAGGAATTGCTGCAACAAAACATGTTGATCAAAATAAAGATTCTGATGCTGAAATTTATTATTAACAGTCAGGAAAAAAATGAGCCTTGACAAAAACTTACAAATTCATGCTAAAAGCTGAAAAATTATTTTGAACTGTTGAGCTTGCAATTTTTACCTTATTTCATGTCTCCAAGCTTTCACCAATCCATAGAATCATCAACAATTTTTCCTTGTACAATAATACTTTTCTCTGTTCTTGTTGCTACAGAGATCAGGGTTTAAGATAGATTCAGCATTATGTGTTACCAGTCCTATAGAAACAATTTCAATTTTTTGAAGCTTTATCTTTCCAGGACCAATTATTCTATAATTACAAAAATGTGCTTGCTTATTCTTTTTTACATAAATTCTGTTTCATCATCTGTTCTAGGAATCTGCAAAACCTTGCATTGGTGGACCTCCAAAAGAGTGCTTTGTTGTTTTCAAAGGGATTCTCAACAATTTAATTTAAGAACACCATCTAGTGTTTTGTTCAACCCTGCACAAAGTCAGCACCATACCACATCAGAACTAGTTCAATGCATTGAAGCATTTCCACCTGGATTACCTTCCTCTTTTTATAAGAATTTCAGAACTTGTTCAAGGCAGTTTGTACGTAGCTTTTGCAGTAAAAGTTCAGGGATTGACCTGCAAAACGAGGCTTCAACATCCCAGAAAAATGACTCTACTTCAAAAATCACAGGAGTTGCCCCAAAACTCAGTCATGTTGACAAGCAAGGCCATGCACAAATGGTTGATGTGGGTAGCAAGACAGAAAGCAGTAGATTTTCAGTGGCAACAGCTAAAGTGTATTTGGGTCAAACAGCATTTAACCTTGTGAAAGAAAATAAGATCCATAAAGGTGATGTTTTGACAGTAGCACAGTTAGCAGGGATTATGGCATCTAAGCAAACACCAAATCTTATTCCATTGTGTCACAATATTCACATTACTCATGCAGAGGTCAATCTAGAACTTGATGAAAAAAAGTTGGCAGTGTGTATCACAGGATCCGTGAACTCTGTTGGAAGAACAGGAGTTGAGATGGAATCTCTGACAGCAGTGACTGTTGCGGCTTTGACTGTGTATGACATGTGTAAGGCAGTTTCACGTGAAATTGCAATTTCTGATATCAAGCTTGTCAAGAAAGTTGGAGGAAAAAGTGGTGATTATGTTGCAACTTGAAATATATTCACAGTGGCCCTCTCACTACAACAGATTCTCAACAACCATTTGCAGCAGAAGATTACAGGAGCAATGCCAAAACATGCTTTACAAAGTTAAAAATGTTTTTTTGGCGAGAGTTGTTGTTTCTCTCCTTATTTTTCAGAGAGATTCACAGTTATTATTATCACTGATTATTAATTTGGAGTAGGTGGAGTAATTTGTACTTCACGTGGTTCGCATATTGCAAATGAAAATGGATCAACTAAAGGAATAAACACAAGCCTTGTTGAATAATGATGAAATTATTTTAGGTTAAAGTGATTAAAAACTCATTTGAGTGTACTTTTCTGAGTTTATTCTCGTTTTTCTAGTGACCTCTATTTGCTGTCTGTTTGGAGTCAAAATTTCTGTTGAATTCCCTTTTAAATTCTTGTTCTTGCTAATTCAAAGTATTGCTCATTTATTTGTAGGTACAAAGCAATCTTTTTTCTTTTTAATGAAAAGTCAAGACAAATAATTAGCAAGCAACTTCTTCATAAAGTTCTAGTATCTTTTGACTCCTTAGAGTGACTGGTATCTCATTTCTCCAAACAACTTCATCCTGAATCAAATATTAAGGTCACTAGAAAAAAAACAAACTGATCGCCACCTGTTGAAGCTCTGGATTGTTAAACAAATTCTCCTCGTCAGCACCTTAGAAAATGTATAGAGAACAGTATGGAGAATATGAATACTGATCTCAGGGTGTAAAGGGTTTCAAAAAGTGATGAGAAGGGACTTTAATTTGCTGTGAGATGACATCTCGATGTAACACCAAATTCTCTGAACTAAATAGCTGGGAAATGTATGGTAATTAGAAGGGAGAGTTACTTATCAGCCCAAGGGAGTTTAACCCTTTACACCCTAATATCAGTATGCAAACTCTCCATACTATGCTTTATACATTTCCTAAGGTGCTGACAAGGAGAATTTGTTTAACAATCAAGAGCCTCTTCAGTTGGTGATCATCTCCTTTATTCTCACGACCTAAATGTGTGATTCAGGGGAGTTGATGTAAGGAGAAATTAGATACTAGTCGCTCTTAGGGGTGAAAGGGTTAAGGGTCAGATGTTTTTTTTTAGAAGCAAATGGCCGGCAGAAATGGTGGATATCTATGTAGGCAAAACTGTTACATTTTGACAAGGTATTATTATTATTATTATTATTATTATTATTATTGATTAAGTCTTCACAAATGGCAGTGAGAGTTCCAATAATTGGCAGAAGATTGCTAACACCTGGCTTTTATTGAATGGAAACTCTGTCAAACAACACATTATCCATCTTGAGAAAAAGTCTACATTTCGCGTGAGTGTATTTTCTTTGAAGATAAAAGACGCAGATGTGGGAGAAGTAAAGTGCAGTCTGCTTATACATTTCACCGTCGTTTTGAATTTTAACGGTTCCTTTCATAATACTCCAAAGGTCCTGGTGGATTCAACAGTGAAAGGAAACTCTTCTAACGGAGTAGAACTGTACGACCATTTCTTGCGCTCAAACCGCTACGCTCCATATGCATATCTGAGTTATTTTTTAACGGCAGGGAAAACTTCCCTTAAACGGGCCAAGAAAGTGGACTGATTTCGAAATCATTTTTAGCGTCTGTGTATTTTTTCCTATATTTCTGTTACGAAATTATCTCCAATGCCGCTTATTACTGAGTGAGCGAAAGCCGAACCATTTTAGCCAGCAGGAAACATGCCAGTAGTTTATCTTCAGTTCTCTTTTAACGTTTTTTTTCTCATCTTAGAGGAGAGCAGATATAATTTATCTTACATTACTAGCATACACCACACAGGTGAATATTGTTTTACGCCCACGTTGATTGGCTAGTTCAGAAAAGATTTGCAAGTACTATTCACGTACCTCCGAGCAGCCGAAGAAGACAAAATCGCACGTCAAAAGTTTAATTTCCCACCATTTTACAATGTCTTGTTGGGAAAATAATAATTTTTTGGTTTCTGTGTGGTATTTACTAAAATAATTATACACCTCAGTGTCGGTAAAAGTGGTGGATATTTACCCTGCCGATTCGCAGCTTGGTAAATATCCACCACTATTCACCTCCACTTCGGTGAATAATTGTCTATTATTATAGCTTATCTCATGGGTGAAATATTGAGGAGATCTTTAGAAATATGCATTAAGGTACTCTCTCGCGTCATAACAGCATGCACCTGGAAGTACATCCGTCATGTAAGATATACTGTATTTCATAGACCACCACCCATTTTAGAAGTCAGAAGCTGTCGAGTGAAAGAACGTGCTGAAATATACGCATTTCAAAAGACTTTAACATGCGAGAAATTGTGCACATCCAGGCTGGCCAATGCGGAAATCAGATTGGCGCAAAGGTAAAATTTCTTGTAAAATATATATTTTTCTTTTCCTCACGAAATTCATTCGACCGGTTGATGGGAATTTTGTGATTGAAACCCAGTATTTATTTCCGGATCGATTTCAAGGTTAAACTCGCGCAGTTTTTTGTAAATGCCGTTCCTAATTTTGTTGTACATATTATACAACAGCAACGGGTATATAAATCTCGTCATAAATAAATTTTTTGGTCGATAGTAAGCCCATAAAATTTCATACAGAAACTGACTTCATATGTAAATTTCACCACAGAAAGTGATTGGTTACTCTATGACATCTTTCACTGCAAGCATACATTTCCAAATTCGATACAAGTAATTGTTCATCTCAGACGAATTTATAAAAATAACAAGAATCGGGAAAAGCTCCTTTTTTTCTTTTTCAGTTGCCTCTTTCTTGACTGTTTATCTCGCTACTAAATTTTTTACCGTATTGGCCGAGATAGATGCCTTTATGTTTATTTCAGTTTTACCACACCCATAAAATATGTTCTTCGAAAAAATAATTAATCAATAAAAATATTTTTATCATACAGTCGAAATTTCACAATTTTTTTCCCCATACTTTGATTCAGTACTACTTCCATATTGTAATTTTTCTTGCTGAGTACGTAATTTTAAACCTGTTTGTTCTCACTCTCCATTGAAATAAGTTATGTATCTGAAGAATAAAAGCAAATAATACTAAATTTGAGGATTTTGCGTACATGTTTTAGTAATGGTTGCGACAACCAAACGAAACTTTCAATTTGAGCTAATGTATTATTTTGCATTTAATCTTGCGTTCTAGATTTGAGTACCACGATTAACAAAAGACAAAACATTACCATAACTTCATGTTTTATTTTTCTTCAGCTGGAATTGACATTGTTGTTGAAGCCTTGAAAATGAAATGTTTCTTTTTAAAATCAACAAACCAGCTTTGATCTTGCAGGGCTCGCATGATATCTTCCGTAAATGACTCGCGCCGTATATTTTTCAGTTTTGGGAAGTGATTTCCGAGGAGCATGGAGTAGATCCAACTGGATCTTACAGCGGGGACTCGCAAACACAACTCGACAAAATTGACGTTTACTACAACGACGCCACAGGTAAAAGTACCGGGAAAAAAACATGAAGAATTTAGAATCTTTTCTATAAATGGGAGTAGAGATTATGTAGAATTTCTTTAGTTAAATCCCACCGCGCTGAATGAATTTTACCTATAATAACAAATGAGAGTTTTGAAGGCTTCCGAAGTCTGAATCCTTTCTTATCTGCCTTAGATCTGTTTCGAATGAAATTCTGATTTTGTTCTCTTATACAATATAAATAATAATAAGTTGCCAAAGTTACTTCAGGATTTTCTTTATTTCAGCTTTCAATTGTTCTCAATCATTTATTTATAGTCATGTTTTAAATCAATTACCCCTGAAAAGAAATTTTAAACGTCGGAAACTCATTTACTTCTCATTAATTATTTTCCATCTTTTTCTTCAATACAAGCGTGCATAGCATAGATATATCTCCCTGATTGATTTCTCGGTCTAGTTCTTTTATTACATATGCAATTTTCGCTGAATCTTTGAAACAAAGAAATATTACATTCTGAAGCTTTTGTTTATTTTAGATGTGACAAAAAGACTCTTAAAGGTCGCTTTTTGTTCTCTTTAGATTTAAAATTTTATACTGATCCACGGCTATGTTTGTTTTTATCGAAATCCCTTTAAAAGCCGAAACATTCCCAAATGAATTTATTTGGCAAACATTTAACATTTCATCGAAATGTCACTGGTCAGCTCTTAATCATATCCTGTTTTCTTTGTCTATTACTCTAAGCATTCTATCATTAACACAGCAGGTGTCGGTCTTACATCAAAACTTATTCGCTTTTCAGGAGGGAAATATGTCCCTAGAGCGATTCTCGTCGACTTGGAGCCCGGCACTATGGATTCTGTGCGGTCTGGAGTGTATGGACAGCTTTTCCGACCTGACAATTTCGTTTTCGGTACGGATTTTGTTTTCTCTGAAATTATTTCGCCTTCTGTGAGGTCTTATTTTTTATTCAAATTATTTACAAGCCACCACATGTATCATCTTTTATTTATTTATACCATTAAATTGTTGTAAGTCGCCAAAGCTTAAATGCGAAGAAAAATGCGTTGTCGTACTGGAAGAGATGAAAATTATTTTTTTTATATTTCTAAGTGATGCTGTAAGTCAAAATATAAATTCTCACTACGATCGCTGTTTTTTCTTTGGATGTTATTTTGGAGAATTTTCAATCACGTTGGGTAAATAATTCAAGTGATACATTTAAGGACTTTAAGTTTTTGTTGTAGACGAAATAAGCGAAAGTTTTTTGGTTGGGGGCAAAATCGTCCATGAAAGTTTTATAACTTGATGAGGAAAAATGAGATTCGAAAAAGCTTAAATGATGGCCACAAAGTCTAGTGGAGAAAATTTCATTTCTGATTGTTTTTTTTCTTCTGTTTTTTGTTCAGTTTTGATTTTGCCGTCGCTGCTAGTATTTGTCGTCCTCGCTAGCTGTTTTATTTATTTTCTAATTATTTAGAAGAGTTATTTAAAACTTGGTCCCATTCTTCCGTAGGTCAAAGTGGCGCGGGAAACAACTGGGCCAAGGGTCATTACACAGAGGGAGCCGAGCTAGTGGATTCAGTTTTGGACGTGGTCCGTAAGGAGACTGAAAGCTGCGACTGCCTTCAGGGCTTTCAGCTGACTCACTCACTAGGAGGGGGAACTGGGTCGGGCATGGGTACATTGCTCGTATCTAAGATCCGCGAGGAGTACCCGGACAGGATCATGAACTCGTTCAGCGTTGTACCCTCTCCAAAGGTACGCGTAGGAAGTGTATTATTTTCGCGCACGCCATTTTTTTTTCCCTTCCATTTTTTTTCTCATCCCACTGATTGAAAACCTTGATCAGAGTGCTAAATACTTGAGTGGCTGGACTTCTACCCTTGTTTATGCTCAGTGACCATTATATTTGGTCGGGCGGTTGTCTCTATATGCGCAAGATCGACGTAACACCATCAACAACCGATGAAATGGTAAAAAAAAAAAAAAACCAAACGAAAGCGTAACCACCGGTCAAAATTTAATAGTAACAGGGTGCCCTTCTATGATCGACAACCTTATATAAAACTTCTTTAGATGAACTATACAGACAACTGGAAAACTAGATTAATTTTGTTGAATGCGAACATTCAAGACAGCTCCTTGTTTTTAGTTCTTCCAAACGCCATAGTCTCAATTTGAACCAAAGTTTATTGAGATACAGCTAACAACAAAGGCTACAGCGATTCCTAATCTATGATCACAGATATCTTGGACGTGTTGAACTGAAGACATGACCTTTTAGCGTGTCGATCTTTCACAGTTTTCTCTCGCAGATCACGAACAAACCTGTGCGCAGGGGCTTAAGGGCACGAGATAGTGGTACGCCTCTAGCTTTTTCTTATCTTTACTTCCCTGTAAATGGAATCCTGGCGGCAGCCTCGGCGGGGATTCCTTTGATTTCACACCTTTGAGCTCCTAGTGATTTTATATTCCCGATCTCTCTGTGATTTCATACTCTTGGGATTCTCTGTTTTAGTTTTTTCTTTAACACTCTTGGGCTTCCTGTGATCTTACGCTAATGACCCCCCCTGCGACTTCACACCATGTTATTTTTCATTCCTACGCTCTAGTAATCTCAACTTCTTTTATCAGAATTTCATATCTTATCGTTTTCCCTTTACAGGTTTCGGACACAGTCGTGGAGCCTTATAACGCTACACTGTCAGTGCATCAACTCGTTGAAAACACCGATGAAACTTACTGTATCGATAACGAGGCCCTGTATGACATCTGCTTTCGAACCCTCCGACTTGCCAATCCTACATACGGGGATTTGAACCATCTAGTGTCAGCAACAATGAGCGGTGTAACAACGTGTCTGCGGTTTCCTGGACAGGTTGGTCAGCGTCACAGATCCGAGTATTTTGTTTTAATGTTTCAAATGTTGATGGAGAAAGATGTAACAGGAAACTTCTTGTACATTTTCGAATCTGACAGTGTTAAAGCAAAGAGATTAAGTTCTTTTGTCCAATCTATGAATGCAAATTGGTAGATTACAAAATAATCTACGGAATTTTATACGGTTCTACTTCGCCAATTCTTCCTTTAAATTTTAAGTTTTGCTTCCGTGGTCATCTTATTCGGCGCTTGTACTCCACTGAAGCATTCCCGCACCACGGATAATACGTAAAGAAAATTGTAAGCCTGGGACAAGGGAAAAAAAAATCTGAGCCTCCCCTTCCATCCCGACAGAAATCGAACCCCGGAAATTGACCAATGTGTCCTGATGCTCTACCAGTGAGCGACAGAGTTTTCGATGGTGAGCTACATCAGATACTAGTAGCATTATTTCAAGTGGGCCAGTTTGCAGGGTTCCACTCTCTTGGCTTGAGCTTCTCTTGATATGGAGTAATTCAAGTTTTTCGCAATGCATATCACCGATTAATCATTCAAGTTTTAAGTAAGTAAAATTTCTAACCTTGCGCTCATTTTAGTTGAATGCTGACCTGAGGAAGCTGGCGGTCAACATGGTCCCATTCCCCCGCCTTCATTTCTTCATGCCAGGGTTTGCACCGCTGACCAGTCGCGGTTCACAGCAGTACCGTGCCCTTACTGTACCGGAACTGACCCAGCAGATGTTTGATAGCAAGAACATGATGGCTGCTTGTGATCCCAGGCATGGCCGTTATCTCACCGTAGCAGCAGTGTTCCGAGGCAAGATGTCCATGAAGGAAGTGGATGAACAAATGTTGAACGTCCAGAACAAGAACAGGTTTGTGGTGGAGAGCCATTGTTATCGAGAAATAGCTATGCTATTCCTTTTATTTTCTCTCGTATTTTTATGAACACGTGTAAACAACATTGTACATTAAGGAACAGTCATTATGTTCATCGCATTTTTTTTTCCTTTTTTTTTTTGGAGGAGGGGGGTCGGAGGATTTTTTAGGTCACGATAAAACTTAATTGATTCCCCAATAAGGCTTTTTAACCTCGTTACTATCCCCCCTCATCGGCAGTTAATTTAACCCCCCCATCCCCCCGTTTATACTCTGTTGGCGACTACTGATCCCCCTTTTGTTCTCCCTGAAAACCATGTGATCTCCCCAAAAATTCACTGAACATTCCCCCCCACGATGGTAACTGGTCTCCAGTTCATTCTCACAGTGCCTCTCTCCACCCCACAGGTGAAGAGTCAGGGGTTCTTAAAGACATCCTAGGGGCGGGGTTAAAAGAGATAGGGACTGCCTAAAAAGATTAGAATTTCGTTCGGGCTGATAAGATATACCTCAAGACACTTCGTGCAATTGAAGCTTTGGGATAAGCTCCGGCAGATATGACTCAACTCTCCTTTGATCCAATTTGGGAGTATCTGATGGAAGATATTTTTTCTATTCCTTGGTATCTTTCTTCCTAGTTCATACTTTGTTGAGTGGATTCCGAACAACGTCAAGACTGCTGTTTGTGATGTTCCTCCTCGCGGGCTCAAGATGTCCTCCACGTTCATTGGCAACAGTACTGCGATCCAGGAGCTGTTTAAAAGAATCGGAGAACAGTTCACTGCTATGTTCAGGCGCAAAGCTTTCTTGCATTGGTACACAGGAGAAGGGATGGACGAGATGGAATTTACTGAGGTAAGAGGGAGGGGAGTGAAGTGGGGTTTGAGGCTTAGAATTTCTTCTAGTATGCCTCTATGGTTTGGTTTCTTAGTGAAGAATATAAAGAGTTCACGAGTGGGCCGCTGCCATAAATGTAAATAGTGTGTAATTAATCCGGAATTGAAAGGATGTTCTTTACTTCACTCTGTGATCGGTAACGGAATCTGGAACCTCGTGGTTAATTATGGTAGAGCACTTGACGTATTTTACGAACCAGTGAAAATAATGGTGTATCTGAAGTTAATCCTGTTTAAGCATATCAAAGAGGAAAAAACAAAACAAACAAGAAAAAATTTTCGGCATCGACATTTCTTTGTTAGCACGGATGAGATTTATGCCATTTAATTTATAAAAGCACATAAATGGCATCGAGAAGTGATTTCCTTGAAATGTAGTTGTCGTTGGAAATATAAGTCGAGGTCAGACATGTGCTTTAAATATTAAAAATCCCACCGGAAGTGATTGTGTGCAGATGTGGCAGCCGTGATCGTATAGTGGTTAGTACATTGCGTTGTGGCCGCAATAACCCAGGTTCGAATCCTGGTCACGGCACTCTCCGAAATTTTTTTTTCTATCTCCTAGTTTTTTTTCTTTCTTTTGTTTTATTTTCTGTTTATCTTTTAGAATTGGTCTGTACAATTTACGTTAGTTACTTACAATCCGTTTTGCTATTCGCTTTTATCATCCCGAATCGTTCCTTTTGGTTTGTTCTTTATTTACTCTATTTTTGTGTGTCCTAGTCATAGAAAATATCATTTTAAGATTTCCCTTTGATTAAAGGGTTCCCTATGACGATGAATGACTCAAAATACAAAAATATACCCATCTAACCTGACAAACCTCCTCTCAATTTTTAGGCCGAGTCCAACATGAATGACCTAGTGTCTGAGTACCAGCAGTACCAGGACGCCACGGCCGAGGAGGAAGGAGAATACGACGAGGACGAAGGCGACGACGAAGAGGAAGCCGAGTAAATATCGACTCCACATCGATTTGAGTAACGCTGACATGCAAAAACTTCTTTAAGATTTAAGCGGAAGAAATCTCTTTATAGCGCTTGCGAGTTCTGTTTGCTCGCACTCTAGCCTGTTTGTACTCTGGCCTACGTGTAGTCGTACCCTCCCCTCCAAGAAGAACGTTTCTCTTTAGGATGAGGGGGGGGAGGTGCTGCGGCTACACGTAGGCTAATAGTATTCTTGATCTAGCTTTTATGACCCTTTAACCCCCTTTACTGACCGCGACAGAAATTCTCCTTACAATATCAATACAGTATCAAGCAGACAAGAGATGAGGATAGAGAATAATATCAGTTAGGGGATAATGAGTTGATCCAATACCAAATTCTCCATACTAAAATCACAAGAGCTGTATGACAAAAAGTAAGGAGAATTACTGATGAGATCTTGGGAGTTAAAGGGTTAATGCTTCAATCAGTCTTTGATAAAAAGATTGTCTATTGGTATTGTTTTTATTGAGGTTGTCGTTACTAACAATTCCCTAACTTAAACTTAACTTTAAAGCCCTAATTTTAATTGACAAAATGACAAATGGTGTCTTAAGGATTTGTAGAATCAGTGCTCAGCTCTAACACTTGATTTTTTTTAATTTCTAAATTAAAATGGGAATCGTCTAATAAAATAGAAGAGACACTAATTAAGAATTTCGATATGGGAAGTAAATCTTCAATTTAAATCAACAAGCTAGGATCTGAATTTATCAGAACTAACACGAATATGACTATGATCATGATTATTTTTTGTGAGATTTAAATTATCTCTTTGATCGAAAATAGCTTTCTCTTGACTTCTTGAAGAAAACAAGATTAAAGGAATCAAAGTCTTAAGCATCAGGAAGGTTTGTCTGAAGTCCATGTGTGCATTAAATTCGTCACGCCACGCCACGATCAATGCCAATTTTTTTGTCCCAACAGTGAGGCGAAACAATTTTGGATTAAACCTACTACACAATTCCCTCTTAAGTACCAGCTTGTTCCCTATAATCCCATGAAACAAGCTTTTTTGGTTTTGCACGTGCCACTGCCTTTTCTTGTTTTGCACGTACCACTGTCTTTCAAGTTTTCTTTTGCACGTGCTGAATTATGCAAATTAAAAGCTGTGCGGTGTGAACAGCGCGCAGTTTGGTGCTAAAACGGAGAATCTTCAGTGATAAATTATTTGGGCTATTCAAAGTTAGTGAAACCGGAGATTTCATACAGATGTAAGTACAAACTATTTTTTTTCTCACTGACATCCCCAGCGCCCCGGTGTGGTCGCTCATCCATTCGCACAATAGCAGTTTCAGACGTAAACAAGTTACCTTTATTTTAAAATTCGATTTTATTCACATACCAAAACTGTACACAATATATTTTTATAAACTCCGGAGGACGTGTATGGGTAAAAATTACAAATTTTTGTAATTACACCCATTTATTTGACAGGTTGGAAAGTTTAAAAAATCTTTCCAGCTGGAGCTTTGTAAAGAGAAATTACCTCAGTTTTCCATTTAAAGATCGTCCTGAAAAAGCCTAAATAGTAGTTCATCTAATGTTAAATTACCTTTCTACATTAAGGTCGCTCATTTTGAACGATCCTCCTTGCACTTAAGATCGACTCTACATTTTTAAATACATTCGAGTTCATTCAGGCTTACAGTATATTAATTTACACTTCGTGGAATCGTTACTCGCAAACCAAGGTACATTTCGAAACTATTGTTTATATCTATGAAATTCACCAAAATCTTTAAGTATTCCTCCCTTTCGTCAACTTCATCCTTATTCGTAACTTTTATTTAAAAATTGAAAAGCGGTCGTTTGTCGAACTTTCTCTTAACAAGTAGAGTTTATTAACGTACGTCTGGCTGAGAGACAATTCACATCATCCTTAAGCCCTTTGTAACACACTGACAACAATGCAATCACGCATGCCGCTGCAATCCAACATGACAAAGTACCTATATGGCTGCTATGCGATAAAACGAGGTTTATTTTCAACTGGAAAAAGCCATTTATCTCCAAGACTGATGCGAGTAAAACAATTTTTTAATATTTCTGTTTTCAGGTAAATCTTTCGCCCCGAGATTTCGCAAATTTCTTTTTTGGCGGTACCAAAATGTCTTTTGTTGCAAGTAAATGGCCAACATTGTATTCTGCTGACTTTGAAGAGTCTGAAATCATTAACGCATGAACTACCAAACAAACGGAGTTCTCTGACTTGTCAATAAACGTTCTCTCTATAGGGAAAAATAATAATATTACTTTCACATAAATGTTAAAAATATACTTCTGTTTGAAATGTATAAATACCGTAATAAGGCTTACAAAGAAATATAAAATAACTTAGCTCTTTGATAATGAAAATATCTCTAGAAAATTATGACAATGCTGGCATTCTTTTTGTGTGATCTTGTCGATACTTAGGTGAGAGATATGAAACGAGTTTCCATTGAGAATAGTAACTACGCCGGCCAAATGTTTTTCCTGACCAAACGATGGTGGATCCAAGTTAAAACATACTATAAAATACACGCTTACATCATTATACAATACAAAATGTCTTGATGACGTCAACAGTTTCACACTTGAGTGGTCCGTTTATCGAATGACGTCACCATCATGATACTTGACTTGCAGTCAGTAATTCGCTTCTGGAGGTTATTGTTTTCCACTTCTAACGCATCTATAAAACGTGGATCCTCCCAATTGAGTTCTTTCTCGGCTCTCACTGCAAGACAACGAAACATTAAAGTTGTAACCACAGTACACAAATATGTACCAATAAAAGTTGAACGACAAAGTTTGGTTTTCCAAATCTAACTGCTCAATTTAAGCAATTCCAGCGAAAGACGAGTTATTGAGCTTAAGTTAAGAAATAATCTTCTCTTCTTCGTTACAATACATGAAATGATTCAGTTTCATCGTGATTTTGTTAAGCACGACCATAGCTAACTGATATCTAGAAAATTTTTGGTTATACCGTACATTGATTGCTAAAGAAAACTTGCGTCACTCTTGAAACCAATCAAAGGCAAAGCTTAAATCAAACGCAATGTGGTCACCCGCGTTTTCCCGCGCTTTAAGTAGCTTGCCTATTTTTACTTTGTTTCCTTATTGGTCAATGGTGACCTTTCTTCCGATTGGCCATCGTAACAACTTTGGCGAAGGTTTACCTTCACGTGATAGAAAACAATCCATCTATATTCAGTTTACGGGCTACAGCAGCTTTCGTTATCAAATTTGCTTTGCTAACGGAGTCAGCGCCAGTTTATAATCGGTGGCGTGTCCTTGAACAATAAGTTACAAATAGAAGTTAGCCCCTTATTTTTCAATTTAGTGTGAAGACTTACGTCCAAAGCTCCATCTCTGGTGTTCATCGAGCAATCGATTCTTGGCCGCTGAGAATTCTTCCTTCAAATGTCGCTGTCTCTGTCTCAGGGATGCAATGCGGGTTTTTCTCTGTTCAGAATCTTGCCACTAATGAACAAAAGGAAACGTTATTGGATAGGTATAAATGAGAAAGCTGACCCGACAGACCAGAAGTAAACGAACGAATGGTGACGAACACACGAGCAAACAAACGAACAGACATGAACGCATTAAAACAAACAAACCAACGAACACGAACGTACGAACAAACGAACGGACACGAACGTACAAACGAACGAACCAACGGACACGAACGCACGAACGAACGAACGAACTTTGGCACGAAGGAGTGAGCGAACAGATAACGACAGAATCATATAAAGAAAAGGAATTGTGGAAGGTAATACAACCAACAAATTCAGTCGAAGAAACGGAAGTAATAAATAGTCTATACCTGAAAGTTAGGTTCCATAGCTTGTTGTACTTTTTCGATGTCATCGACTTCGTAAACCTTGATCTGAACCGGCTCCAATGACTTCCTCGAAAACCAACGCCTAGGAGAATATTTTCGTGCGCTGGATCCTGGTGAAGCAGAACGACTTCTACCTAAATAATGGTGATAAAAATAATAGAATGTTAACAATATTAATAAGGTATATGACGATGTTTCTGCTAGCAATTTAAGGTGCGGAGGTGTACGGAATTACAGAGCAGTTTTCCTAGAGGGATTAAACCTTTCTGAAACTTTGTCAGGCCCAGCTAAACAAACATTTTCAAACGGCGTATCCAAAGAAATCCATGTTGTTATTGGTTCTGTTCAACTTTGTTCTACTATTGGTCGAGAAAATTGGTATCACCCCTCAGTTTACCAATCAGAAGTAAATCTAAAGCCAATCACAACTTGTTTACTCGCGTTTTCCCGCGCTTTAGGAAGTTTGCTTGTATTTACTTCAATCTTACATGGATTTTGACAATCAGCTTTGCCCTAATTTGCGGATGTGAAAACTCTTTATTCCGGTTTCACGACAGTCAGTCGGAGATCCCTCAAGTGGATTCGATACCCAATAAATACCTATCAGAAATTAATGAGAGAGCTCCCAACCAAGTTTGAAAATGTAAAAACATCTTATTTCGTACCGTTGCTTAGCAACCTTTGACACTATACCGCGACTTCTCACCTTTTCGTTTCCCACGACTCAGACCTTTTTCACTGCAACTGTCACTTGAGGCGTGACTTGCATCGTTGCGCATGCTCTCGTAGCCACTGCTGCTGGCTGCATCTGATCGAGAAGATACTGAAGGAATAAGGAAAAAAGAGAACGAAAAAATAAGTTTCCTTTTCTCTTTTATTTCAATTCGATTAAAATGCAAGCAATTTGTGTGAAGTAGAAATGATTGTGTATAGACTGTTACAAAACCAATTTTACTACAAAAACTTCATTTTAAGAGCAAAACTTGCCAATTGATCGAGGTTCATGTGAGGATTGATATGCTTTTCATAATTTTAGGCCCTTTACACTTACACGACTTGAGTCTCTTCAGCGACCGACTTCGTCCGCGAGGTCCTGGGGAATCTCCGATGCTACTGTCGCTAGCGTGACCGCTGCTGTAGCTACTGCGGTCTCGTCTGAAAGAAAATATGGCAATCATTAGAAGTTAACTAATGATTAATAAACTAAAGGTTTCGAAAATACAGAAAGTCAATTGTTAGTTGCTCATGATAAAACGATTGACAGTTGCCTTATCGTCAAGGACCCCATGAAACAATTAATGACTGATGAAAATGCACGGCAATGCTATCGTATTGTTTCACTCCGCTTTGTGATTTTCCGTCTCGGTCGTTTGTTTTTCTTTATTTTTGGAAAAACTTGCGTCAATTTCTCAACCAATCAGACTCAAAACTAAAATTTGGCGCAATTTGGCCAAGCATGATTTTGCGCGTTTTTCCTCCACCTTTTGTTTTTGAAGCTTGCCTTAATGCCTTTCCTTAGTTCCTTGCCTAAAGGCCACGCGTTATAGTTCCTAGTTATTGGTTCTCACCCGAAAAATTTAAACCTCCTTGTCTTTTCGTTCCTCGATCCTACTGCAACAGGTGTTGAGGGCGCTGGCATTTCGTCTGCTGTCAGATCTCCGGTTGATACCACGGGCTCATTGGCTACCCAAACCACGTCTGTGCTTTCTGTTCTAATGCTGTTATTACCATCCTCCGTGCTAGATGACATCAGCGCCAGAGTTGATGCGTTTTGTGTTTCTGCACTCGTTGTAAACGTGGCCACAAATTCTCCAGATAAGCGGTATTGACGGTTCGCTCCCACCTGAGTGCCGTCTGCACTAGGACGCGGTTGGGACGCGGTTGCATCGCAGCCAGGTATTGTCGCCACGAACTCACCAGATAATCGGTAAACGATACGCGGTGGTGCGCAGCGGTCGTGAAAACGCGCGATGAATTGTTCCTGTGGCGCATAAGGTGTCTCGGGCTGAAGTGGAATGCACTGTATGATCGGTCGTTCAACAGTTATTGAAATGGTGTTATTAGGCTTGGGAACTAAAATATTAGAAGACTGTTTGTCTTTGGTGGAGGGCTCATCAGGTTTCTCAAATTCTGCGTCAGACATCTCCGAGCCACAATATGTGAGTTTTACAAAACTTGATACAGAGCTGATAGAGGTTCTGTCGCTTCTTCTGGTTGGACTGTTTCCTGCTCTGACAAAGTGTTCAACTCTGCCGCTATCTTTCCGGGAGATTCTCTCTGAGAAGGAAGAAGTAAAAATATCCGAGTTCTCCATATCGCAATTCTCTATAACGCAAGGCTGTTCGAGGTTGCTGGTTTTGTGGAAATTGTTATTTTCGTCCTCGCTTCCAAGAAAAGTAACGCTAGTTTTCACATTACCAACAGAGAATGATGAAAGCCTCGGGTTTGCCGGATCAAAATGTGATCTAGCGGCGCTCCGACTCGGCGTGCACCACGGCTCTGTCTTAGCCGTCATCGAACTGTCACTCGACTCATCCTCATCCTTCGCTCTGCAGCGATAAGGTGCGTTGTCGCTGTCATAATCTTTTTCGCCCTTATACCGCAACTTGGGACTAGAAATAAGTCTCGCAGTTTCAGTGCACGTGCGTTTCTGCGGAACAAGAGGAGGCAGAAGCATATCGTTACCCGAAGTATCGCACGAAGCCAGTGGAATGATACGTCGGTTTGGCTTCGGGCGCGGTCGGCGATACTCGGGATGCTGAGGGGCTGGGCGAGCGTAGCGCGAAGAGAATTTTTCCCCTTCGCATTCTCTTAGTTGTTCGGCGACGAATTTTTGAAGAAGCGAGCGAAGGTCCCCTTTGGTAGTTGTATTCGTGATGTCTTTCATAGGAATATTCTCTTTGTCTCCTTCCACACGAATAGTTGTGTTCCCATCGTCGATTTCAACACTGACGATGCTGTAACTGCAACTGGCTCGGTTTTTCCCGAAATTCGCCGAAGCCTGATTCAGATTGGACTCAACCGACGGAAATTCTGGTATCGGAGAAAGTGTTTTACTTTTAAAAGACTTCGACACTTGAATATCCTCGAGTTCATCCTCGGTGGAGGACGACTGGGGTGAAGGAACGAGGCGGTAGAACATTTTCATCGGTGTTCCGAACGTGTAACTGCGTGTTGCATCTGTATCGGACTCCGCCGAACTTTCGTCCGAACTCGGCCGATGGGTCTGTTTTTGCGGCACGACTTTCTCGACCACAGGCTCAGTGCATCCTTCGTCTATATCCTGCAAGCTTTCTTCCAGCTCTGGGAAAAGAACATCATTTTCACTTCCAGTGAAGTTTCTTTCTAAATGTGAATCAACGTCGATATCATATTCTTCCTCTTCGCAAAACGCCTCAGCTATGATCGCATCGTCGGCGAGTTGTTTTCCCCAATCGAGTTCGGTGTCGTCGTAGGAGAAATCGTCGGAGCTCGCCTCTCGGGTCTCCTCAAGGACGTAACACAGGTCGGGCGTGTCCGAAACCGGTGAGTGAGGTTGACAGTTTTCAATAAGTTCTGCAGTTGTGTCGCCACTTGCTTGATTAGCCTTACCCTCGAAATGATGCAAAACTTCGTCATCACAGACATCTCGTTCAAAATCGAGCGAAGTCGTGGAGACGTTTGCAGTGTTAAAATGATGGTGTGTGATGCCATCTTGCCTGGACATTTCGTAGTCATACAAATCCTGCTCAGCATCGAGCGACTCCATCGATTTCGATTGGATTTCGTTCACAGCTTCGCAGGTTAAGAAGGAGAACGATGGCGCTTTGGCCATGACGATACTCTCCGCGTCCGAAGACTCACTTGATGTCTCCGGACTCATAACCCGCGTTCTCAGCTTAGCATCCTCGCCTGGAAAGCTTTGCACCGGAATGACAACAGTGCTGTTGCGAGAATTCATACTTTCATCAATGTCTAAGTTGGGACTCAATCCAGATGGAATGATCAGTGTGTTGACAGCTGTGGCTGTTATCGCAGATATTTCCTTGACAACAGGGTTCTTAAAAGTGTCGCTTTCTTGCCTCTTGCTCCTTTTCACGGAGCCTTTGTGTGATGAATCCGAAAGACTGGAAGAACTTCCTTTTTTTTCTAAAAGTCTCTTGCGGCTCGATGCCCGGCTTTCGGGTATGACCTCGATTTCTGTTTCGTAACACGATTCCTCGGTGTATTCCTCGCTAAATTCCCTTCCTTCTCCTTCTTCTCGTTCAGAAAAGATTTCTTCCTTTCCTCGGTCCTCGTAAAGACTACTGCTATCCTCGCTGCCTTCGACCTCACGTTTCAAACCGACGTCTTCGTCGTTATCCTCCGCTTCTCCGTTCTCAATCGCTTCGAGTTTCCGCACTAGGGACCTTGTGCTGCTGGACACACTTGATTTCCTAATTGGGAGCCTTGTCGGTGGGCCTTCGTTGTCTGTGAGGTCCCGGTCACTTATGGCTCCGTCGGGACCCACGTAAATTACAGTATCACACGACTCTTCGCCTGTACTCGAATTGTAGTCGGAACTACCCGGCTCGCCGATCGGGCAATCCTCGCGGAGTTTCTCGTTTAAAGCTGTGGTCCGAAGCCTCGGTTCGGCTGTCCGAAGTCTTGGTTTACGGATTCGGGCTTCGTCGCAAGAACTTTCTCCGCCGGATGAGCTTGTACTCGATCTCTGAAAAAAAGAGCAAAATAAATCAAACTTGGAGAATCAAAACAACGGAACAGATAAAAGAAACAAACCAAAAAACAAAGCTATTCAGATATCTTCTTTTCAGATTTTTGAGATAGTTTTTCGAGTGACATTGTTTCTCATAACTATTAACTTTTACCCGATACCTAAAAATTAGAAATGAGTTACACAAAACAAAAAAATATATTGTCGATAAAACAATCTAGTTCATTCCTTTAAAGAATATTACACAAATTGGCGTTCATTGGAAAATATTTAAAGTTCCTCGAGTATACCAGCTTTGATTAAATGTACACTTTGCTTTTATTGACATGGAAATCAGTTGACAGCGTGCGGCTTCCAGAATGTTCAAAAGTTCGAGTTCGGAAAAAAAAAAAAAAAAAAAGAACAGAAAGCTTTTATTTGATATGTTCTCTATTGTACTAAGTTTAGATCAAGTTTCACATAATCGTATAATTTTATTATTACTGTATGCTGCACATGTGATGAAATTTGTTATGTATTCTCCAACACGATATAACTTAGTTACTTATTGATGAGTCATGAATGGTCAAAGAATGGGATAGATTTCGCTATCCTTGTCCAAAAATGTTATTTGCTGCATTGCAAGCAACTTTCGGCTTTTCTCAAAGCAATTTTATAAATTAGAATCGGTAGATCTTATCATATAAGAACAGGTATTAGCTTGAGTGTGTTTTTACATGTGACCTAAATGTATAACTAACAGTTATTGTTTTGAGGGAAGAAACTGTGTGTGCCGAGAAATGTTTTCTCCAACAAACGACAGCGTTAGATTATTGTGTAACTCATGCGGTTCTCGACGTGGCTACGAATTTCTTCAAAATTGAGGCAGTTTATAGAAACAACAGGGCATAAGAACTCAAGCCGAGAATTAAGTGTTTTCTCGCCCCGGGGGTGAACTTAAGAAAGAAAACAACTTTGATGTAAATCTAACATTTGAGAAGGATTACATGAAAAAACTACAAAGACTTTGAGACTTCATAAGTGTGCTGACAATGCTGAACGGCTTCGTTTGAAACTCAGTGTCAACCAAGTTTAATTATTTTCCACTTTTTGCTTAATGGATGTATTGAATACTTGCTTCACAAAACGTTTTTAAATTTTCTCCACAGGACGTCTTGCACGCAAACTTAATGCATCTTTGAAGAATGTGTTGGCACTGAATTTCATTTCAAACTCTTAAAATGGATCGGCATTTGAATTTCTTTATCAAATTTTGTAATATTTCGCGACAACGGGCGAAAAAGGCATTTTTCTCCGTACCCGTTCGTCAAGATTAGCAACAGTTTAATTCACATCGTAATCGCTGAGATTTTAATCTGATATCTTATCAGCGAGTTAATAACCTTCGAGAGAAATCAAGTAATTTGCTGTCATTTGTCCTCTGTTCGGAATTGGAAAAATTTGGACGAGAATTTTCGGACAACTCAAGAAGAACAAAATCGCTAGTTTTCAAGAGATGCGTTTTGCGTTTATTCAAAAGCTTTACCAAAGTTTCCTTCTGTTCACGAAGAAACACTTGATAAGATTATCGCATTAGGAACAAAGGCATAATACGTTCCACGAATTTGCTACAGGTTGCCTAATACAACCAATTTAAATTTAAAGTCGCTCCCATTTGATTTTGCAGATTAAAATCTTCAAGATTCCTTGAACAAGTTGTTTTAAGTATCTCTTTCTCCCGCTGGTTCGAAGACTTCAGTTTGATAAAAAATGAATACAAGATTTAGTCAGCTTTGCAGTCGCTGTCCACGTTACTTCCTACCTAAGGAACTTAAACACTGTACTTCACATATGATATCTTAGGTTTGTCGTGATACACAAACAACGTTGTAAAAACGAACTCTCTTGATGCACAGACTTCAGTGTAGGTCTAAATTGTACCAAAACAATCCGCCATGGGAGAACAAAACATAAATAGAACATCTATGGGATTTCAAATTATGTTTGTGCCACAAAACCACATTTCGTGTAATGCAATAATGTTACAGTCATGTTAACACTTTTCTGAGCAGAAAATGGACAAATTTCATTTCATTTCACCAAAGGAAGGCGAGTAATGACCGCTGTTATTATCAGTTTCCCTAATATAGTAGGCAACGTGCACATTTTGGATTAAGGCAGCAAAATCTCTCTTCAGTGTGGCTAGAATAGTTACTTTAAGTAGCTTGATAGTGCTGAAGAAAATCTTGATTTTTTGTCATGTAATTCAATTCTCACCAAAAATTTATCTTACTTACCAAAAGTTGAAAGAAGCCCCTAAGAGTGTCACCAGAGTCGCGGTATGATAATCACGAGCGACTGAAAACGCGGGTGGATATCAATACCCCTTGCTTATCACAGCGTTTGTTAGCAAAATTTCTTTGAACCAATCACTTTAGCCGAAGGGAGGTATTTCACTTGAAAAGAACTTTTGAAGCATGGAGGAATTAATGAAAAGGACCCATAAGTAAGAAAGAGAGATAACCTGTCTTTTGTCTCCGTCATATTAAAGGCGAGATTAAGAAACCACAAAAACCAATAAATGTGAAAAAAACGACAAATATTTTTGTCAATTAAACACGACCTTTAGACAGAACTAGTAGATTCTATCTAATCTCAAGCGTAATTTAATGGGATTAAAAACATGTAAACAACTATGAAATAGACACAAATTTGAAACCACTCCTGTGTACTTTTTCATTAGCAACGTAGCGTAAGTTGATAGTTTTTAATTGAAGGATCATAATCGAGTGATGTTTGGAAGTGATCGTTAAAACTTCGGTCAATAATTGAATAGTCTATGATACCTCGCTAACACACTCTACCTCCTAGAAAATTAGATGTTTGGCCGCTATCGCTGAGGATATATTACGAAACGCTCTGTTTGGTCGTTTTCGTTTCTTCTTTGGGCCGCACTCAGAAAGTTTGTTTCAATTTTGCTACGTCGATCAGTTGAACAGAAATGATAATTTGATATAAGGAAGCCATAGTTACCTTTCCCTTTCGCTTTCGCAGACGGTGAAGCCTGGTGGCTAGTTGTACAGTGGCCAGGGTTTCAGCGTAAAACGGAAGCGAGGGTGACACGTGCGCAATCATTGTCGTTCGACATGATGTGTTTCCGATAGACTCTTGGAGCATGCGTGTTATTTTGCTTGTCCTATAAGGAAAGACGAACGTAAGACATAAGTGACAAGACAAATATGTCAAAAAATTCAAACGCTTAACGATTGCTTCTTTTTTATATAGAGTTAACTCAAACATGATATAGTTATCAGCGAATACCCGACATTCTCCGGATCAATTGCCTAAAATCGAGTGACCTACTCAGCGTAAAGTGATAGAATCACTGCACCTGTGTGGCACGTGCTTGGCGCCATTTATGAGAGAAATGATGACGTTTCCCAGCCCCGACAGCGACATGCTGCTAGCACCTCCATCTTTTTTGGACCCAGTGTACCCTTCACAGCTGGCGAGATCGATCAGATGTAGCCGGGAGCGCCCTCCGTGAACTGGGAAGAGGAAGTATAGAACACAGTTGTCGGCGAAGGAACAAACACAGAGGAAACGAAAGTTTTTAAAGGTAGCATGTAGAAAAGAAAAACTTTCTTGATGAATAGCCTAGTAAGTAAGAATCTTCAATTAGTAATAAGCCCGAGAAGACAAATTGAGGGCCAACAAAATAGAACTAAAAAATTGAACATACGATACTTTTAAGTATCGTGTGTTCAATTTTAAAAAAAGCACTTCAGAGTGAGTATTAATGAGATAATCTCTCCACAACAAAGCTTGCAGAAACAACTGTTTTATTTCAGCAAGATGGTCTACTAGTCCAGTATTGACCATAAGAACGGTCTGACAAGTCTCAAGCTGTCTTTGCCACTGACTGTATTACTAAAAATGGTAGCACAATACGCCATATAAATATTTTTAATCAGTTGCGATGGTGATGTATGCGCATAAGAAGGACCAGTTCGCATATTGAGCACTTACCTCCCCCAGCATTCTTAGAATTTTTCTCGACACGATACTGATAGATATGCACAGTGAAAAACATGTGAGAATTCAGGCTTTCTTCCCAGTCTGTGTTTTCGCCTGAGAAAGAAGCATAAGGTTGTGAGCAAAAATGATAAAAAGGTAAAAACGCTGGTCTCGGGTGAGGGCGTGGAGTGCAATTCTGGACTTCATAATATGTCTATCGTAAAGTTCCCAGAGAACTGCGGCAAGTATTTCCTACCTTCAGCTTTGTTATTTACTGGTCTGGTTCTCGCGGCCAGAGCCGCATCCAGATAATAGGCTGCTTTTTCAGCAGAAGCTACTCGAAGCTCGGTAGGGTTAATTTCCTGTAAGGATGAGAAAAGCAAGACTTCTGTTAATGGTGCACAACATTGCATTCCCTCACAAACTCAAAGGAAATGCAAAATAAATTTCTCAGGCGAGTGACCTTTAACTAATTGAAAATGTTTTTTTTTTTTCTTCGGTTACTGAGATGATTTTGACATGAATTCTATTCAAAGGCTTTCCTTTCTCGTTCGCTTAAACGCTGGCATTTCTCAGCATCATTTGAAGGACTGTGTTACGGATAATTTGTAATTATTACCTGATCTCCACCATTGCGATCTTCACGAAGGAACACGCTGGGACTTGGGTCTACGGAGCCATTTTCTGGTCCTACGAGATAAGAGAATAAGGAGGACGTGAGGGTCATCGTCATCGTTGTCATCATCATCATCATCATTATCATTATCATCGTCACTTTAATTGACGTACACGCCGTCGGTATCACAATCAGCCCCGAATAAATTCAATCTCTCATTGCTGTAAAGATTAAGCTTACATTACCTGATGCTTGTTCAGTGAGCAAATCCCGAACGGTTTCCGAGCGACCGACGATCTCCACTGCTGAGACACGAACAGAAAATCTCGTCCCAGTTCTACAAAACAAAGGAAGACAACAAAACTCACATGTTTTCATTGATAATCCTCCTTTCCATGTACTTGCTTTGCATTTCCTCGTGAATAAGCTTAGGCGAATTTAGTGTTATGTAAACATAACACGCTCTAGTTGAAGCATTTGATGCTCTCATAGCGAGGCTGCAGGATGATGAAGTGATATTACAAGGGGAGATTGTGAATGAATCGCTAATAGTAGCAAAGGGGTCAAACGCCATTGATCCAAACTTTTCTGATTTAGTTCTACTTTCTAGAAAAACCGCAACAGTGTCTTACTTTTGTTTCTGTTCGCTAATCAGTCTAAATAACCACGACAGAGCACAAGGGATCAGCCCCAAAGTTTGTTCTTTTTCGTCTCTACCAACCATAGTGTTAGTTTTACCTGCAAGAGAGAGCCAGAAAATGACACAGTTAGCCTTGACAAAAGTGGCTTTAATTTCGTTTTTTTAATTACCGTAAAAGTTTACCAACCTAATCCAGCATGGCCGTACGAAAACAAACAGCCCTCAGAGCCACCAACGACTGCTTGAAGAACGTCTACCAAAGAACCTGAGCACACTTCAACCTGGAAACAAAACAATGCACGATTTTGAGTCATTCAAAGAGGATTGCTTGTTACTAATTTAATTTTGTGATTAAACCCTTCTGAGTGACTATTTTAGTGAGAGATTCTGGGCCTTTCCATACTATGGTTTTTTTGCTATGCTGTATGAGGGGATCTAATTTTAAGTCCGTGGTTGAAATCTTAGCGGATAACGATTCCATTGAATGCTACTGAGCAGTTCCTTTATATGGTACTTTTCATCATGTTGTGCGTTCTAAATTTCAGTCTGTGCACGGGAGGCCAGTGCTATTCAGTTGGAAGCTATTGAGCAGTGGCACTGTTTATGACGATGCACGAGGTGGTTCTAGCTTTTAAGTCTGTAGATGAAACTTCAGCGTGTCGATTCAGATGAAAATTACGGAACAAATCTTGCGTGGTTGAGTTCATCATGCTGTCCAAGTTCGGTCTAACTTCCATGTTGACGAATGAGTCGAGTGTATTGTGTAACAATCAAGAATGCCCCTCTCACCTGAGTGCAATCCGACTCAAATATCGAATCGAATGCAAACATCTTTGGCGCAGCCACACCCATCTTCCTATGTGTTTGTGACACGTGACCAACTGTGCTCGGATCATACAGTGTGACTTGTTTCCGTTTCTGATCCACCTTCATAAAGGACCCAGTCTCTCCGGGAAATGACGGGCAGATTCTTAGCATCACTTTGACCTTCAGAGGAGAATTGAAGTTTGTGAGAAAGTTGACCAAACAAACACAGGGAGTGAGACTTGGTGTGAAATCTTACTTAAAATTAGTAAAAATCACTTACGTAGCGTAGCTTATCTTGCTTTCCTGAGTATGAAGCGAATAGGGAATGTACCCCAACTTCCTGGGCTGGATACTTGTCGATCCATCCCAGGTAACCCCAGAAATCCGCAAAGTTATCTAACTGCTACCAGTACTCGTCAATATTCTTGAGTAGAGTGGGGCACGGCGAGAGACTTTCCCAACAACATAATGCAAATGACTCGGCAAAAGCTCGACCCAAACCCTTATTTAGCTCTCCCTTATTAGTGAAACTAATACATCTACCTTTCCATCCGTCCTCTTTGTATGCATCTTAAGCAGGCCAGGTGGCACAGCCGGACTCGATATTCGAAGCACTTCCTTGTAGTTTGAAGGAAAAGGGTACGGTTGAACCTCCTTGTGCGCATGCCTTGACGGTGTCAGTTCGATCATTGGGGTGGGGTGGTATGGTAACACTTCTTGTTTGTGGCTGTGTCCCTTTTTGTGCTTCTTTTTAGAGGACAGTAACTTTTGAGCGGCTCTGAATTGATTATAAAATGTTCAGGTATGTCAGAAATAATTGATAAGCAACTTCTCCTTACAATTTCAATACTTTATCAAATAAAGAGTCGATAAGAATGAAGAAATTTATCAGTTAGACGATTTTGTCGTGATAGATATTATAAGCTGAATTATACACGCAATTTGATTGGTTGTTAGTTATGACCGATTAGAAGATAGACACTAGATGACGTCATTTCTAAGATAAGTTTGCTTCTTTCTTATACAAAACAAATTAATTTCATGTGTGTTTGTTCAGTGATAGATCAGAGAGAACGTCAAAATATGGCAAGTAAGTAAATGACACACTCAGCTGCGCCGCGAGTGCCACTTTTTCGTCCTGACCACCTTTTGACATCATCTGTGATTTATAGCAGAACAGCAACATGACGCGCAGCAACATGGAATCTATCGTTGAATGGCACCACATTCATTTAAACTAACTTGCAATAACATGCAGAACGGCTGGAAGGAGGAGGTACAAAGTATAGTTGGCGAGAGTTAAAAGGCTAAAGCTGTAAAGTACAAAATATTGAGCAGCCAAGCCTGCGCTTACAGACATTTTTTATCGGCGGACACTTACATTATCACGCTACATTTTCCCCTCTCGACCAAAACCATACAAATCTTAAATGGATTTATTGAACGTGCATGCCATCATAGAATCTTTACTGTCATTTGTCACTCAGCTTTTTTTTTTCTTGAGAGACGTAGGTATCAAGAGGCGTCGATTGAATGAGATTAATTCGGAATGCCATTTGGAATAAAGTGCCGATGACCACATATACTGTGGGTGCGAGAAAAATCATTATAATTGGATTTGTTCTGTTAATAGATGACTGTGGTAAAACCCGCAACGCGTATAAAGGGATCTAATCGTTTCCAATTCATTGGTCCATTATCTATTTCAGCTTAATTGATCCCTCGTGCAGGCTTGACTTTTGACAATCTTAAGATGCTAGAAAAGGAAAAGGTTAGAACTTCTTGACATGAAAGAAGCAGACAAACCAAAAGCATGGTAGATTTAAGATGTAGTAGATTAGCGCGGATTACAAATTTACAGTTACGGCAAATGAAATTTTTCGAGTTGAAAAAGTTAAGTTCTCAAAATTTTCCTTGCAAGAAAATTATTCACGAGGTTTCGAAGCTTAGTTGGTAGTCATTAAGAGGCACGGGGTCGAGGCTTGTCGAAGTCTGGGGTTTCTCAGGCGTCTTTTTCTGTAACTTCTTAATTTGCTGTTTTGTAAATTGTAGAATGCACCAGTAGATCAAGAAGTAAGTCACGTTATCTCTAGAACCCTAAATCTCTATGGGAATCCATTTAGGAAACAATGGAAAGTCGAAACTAGAACCGACAAATAGGCAGCCCTCGGATAGAAATTCAAAATTAATTATTTATCACAAAAATTAGATCCGCTGCTAAAACCATTTTTTATGATGAAAGTCATTTATCTCTCTTTTTAAGCTATTAAAGAACGAAACACCTTCAATACAGCCAAAAGACTATTATCAATCATTTGATCCTTAAGAGTGACTACCATCTAATTTCTCCTTACAATATCACTCTTGAGTCACACATTGTCATGAGAATAAAGGAAATGATCATCAACAGAAGAGGCTCTTGATTGTTGAAGAAATTTTCCAAATCAGCACCTTAGGACATGCATATAGTCAAGTATGAAGAATATGCATGTTGTTGTTGTTAGGGTGTAAAGGGTTATCAAATACGCATTATAATGCACGCATTTCAACGTCAATCAATGCAACACTGGAGAGATTGAAGACTTAGTTAAACAGGAAAACGCAATGATTAGCTGAGGGAAACCCTTCACTACACCACAAAGGAATGGCATAAGAGTTGAAAAGAGTTTTGACATAGAGAATGTAAATATTTAGAAACGATTAAGCGAGATTAAAATCTGTGATATCCTTAAGAAATATGAACAAAGGTTTCGATTTCGCGCGTCAGAATTACTTGAACGTAATCAACACAGTGAATTTGGTAGATTGATGTGTCTCAGTTCCGTGTTTAGAGAAAAAAGTAAAACTTGCGTTGTGTCTCAGTAACAATGTGGAAAAGCTGTACATTTAATGACTGATAGGTTGGCAAAAATAAAGTCCAGTGTTCCTAAATATAGTAAATTTTGTAAAACAGTTTTGTTTTTCTTCACACGCTATAGCCCTGAAGGTACACGGCGATGTTTTTCAAATTTTCAGGAGAAGAAAGCGAGGGACACTTTTTTTAATTCTTGACGAGAAACAAGGTTTGAATGGGACAGGTTACTCAGATATTTTCTTCAAAAACTTTAGACAAGTTGCTTAACACCATGCACCAACAGATGTGCCGCAAAAGGCAAGAGTCGAAGTTTTGAATAAATCAAACTAGTTCAAGGTTGGATAGAAACTCTGAAGATGCCTCTCAAACGACGCATGTAACATGAAGTAAATAAAACATACGAAATAACACTGAAATTAACATATTGATACGACCTACTTTTAAAAAATAGACGCCACTCGCGAGCAAGCACGTGATGACCGGGCATGCAATACCGAAACTTATCAAACCCTCTCATAAAATATACAAAGTAAGCTACCTGAGTCTTCCTAGGACCAATTCTTGTTTCGACGTTAATGCCTTAGAGGTAGATAAACAGGTTAAACTCAAAGGAAATATTTCTGCCGAGTTGTGCCCTTGCATACTTCGTACTACGTTCATTTCGGCAACGTCGAAGCGAAAGAACGCTGGCTAAAGAATTTGGAGTGCAGTGAGGATTTGGTATTCTGCTTCCTGTGAGGCTGCCAGAGGACGGATGCAATAAAATTCACTGACAATTTGTTTACTTAACAATGTAAAGAAGCCATGACCAAAACACAACACAGGCGGGTTTTGGAGGCGGGACATGCCGATCCTCGTTGACTTTGAGAGGAATGTCAACTGACAGTTTATATACAACAGAGGACACTTTGGGTAGAGTGCATTCCTTCAATTTTTGAAGTGAATGTCTTTCAGACAAACTTGTTCAGCTTAGTATTTTCCAGCCCGGGGAAGTGCAACCGTATCGCCAAAAAAAAATTGGCGAGCTTAAGATTTTCGTGTCAAAACGTTTCAGATTCCTTTAGGCGAGACGCGATAAGTACAGTGACTTCTCTTCTACCGCACTCGATGAAAGAGTCGCTAAAGTGTGAAAAGCGTTTGGTGTTTTTCCGGAAGCATGTTTATCAAAATAAATTCTTTCAACTATACACATGATGTGTGCAAACCATTATTTCTGTTAAATAGTCTCTTTTGTTTAGTTCTGCTTTAATTAGAGTTTCCTACTTCCTCTGTAAACATAAATTTAGCCAGATCACCCTTTCTAGAATCTGGAATCTTGAATAAGTCACTTTGACGAAGGCGCTTTCAAGAAAACGCAGCAGTACAATAACATGGCTTTGTTAAAACACTCTTTGAGCCACAGTATTAAAAATGCTACACTTAACTATCACAGACAGTTTTCCTTTATCAAGTTTGTTAATACGAGCTAAATCGCGTGATTTTATAATTATCGTTACTCAAAGGATAAGTGTGGTTGATAAAACTATTTACAAACTTAACCAGAAAAATTCTTTGAAATGCTTTACGACAATTCATTTCCGCTTAAACAGATCAAAATTTTGACAGGTCCTTCATCAACAAAGAGCTTTTAAAATCTTTACGAGTGAGATTACAGATTGACAAAAGGTAGTGTCTAATTTATTTGAACAAGAGACAATATCTGATTGATGGACTTAAGCACTTGGTTTTAAAAGTTTGAATTTGAACAACATATGAGAAAGTCTCTTTCAAAGGCTGAGGGACCTGCATAGCAGTTTCATAGGATTAATTTCGATTATCATAAATAACTAAAGTTTACTGGTTTCTTTCTGTGGTTGAAAGAAAATGGCACTTTGGAATATTTACGGGATATTTCTGAACTTTAACGTTTCAGGTTAATATGTGTGTTATTCAAAATTACCATTCCAGGTGATTTGAGTTGGATTTCATCAAATTAAAATCAAAGCAATAGGTAAGGCCAATCAGAGCAGAGAAAAATTTGAATGAGCCAATGGGAACGTACATAACTCGACGTAACAGGCGCGGGAAGACGCATGCAACACAGCGGTCATACGTTTGCGCATGTGCAAATGTCGTAATGGTGAGGTGGTTCAGGCTTTCAGAACCAAGTTGTTGAATAAGAGTTATGGATGGTAAATTCACAGGACACCCGTAATTTAATAAGCTTTGTGCTCGAAGAGTCTCGATTTTTCTTTTTCCATTAATTTTTTTCCCTCTGCTCAAATTTATGAACGTTTCAACTTTACTTCGCACATTTTGCGTGACAGTGTTAATACCTTTTAGTTTTCCTTACAAAATTTGCGCGGGAAATTAGCGCGCGGCCGGCCAAATTCCCTTGTACATGCCCGACGTGTGACCGCTGTATTGACGCAAGTGACCAAAATCACTCCTCGTTCTAGCTTTTCGTCTTATTGTTTAAGAAGATGACGCGGATTTTTTTCTTTTAAGCAAATGGTAGAGCTTGTTAAAGTAAAACTAAAGAAATTCCAGAATGCTTTCGGATATTAAATTAATTACAAATTCACATCACGTGGTCTGTGCTGCATGATAAAAAAGTCACAACCCACCTTGACAAAAACGAAGAACTAATGGCTGCTTCTTCCGGCTTCACATACATTACGCCACCTCGATCGTTTGTTTCCATGGCGACCCCAGCTTGAAGGCGCTGCTTGTCCGCCCGCCTTATGAGCTGGTCAGCGTTCGGTCCCACCATGTATCCGGGAATGTTATAATAAGCGAGAAACTGAGATTCCTCCAGAGTGTGTACCATGGCGACTGCTTCTCGTTTCAGTTGGTTCAAGCCTGTGGCGCAAACTTCACACTGGTCGTTTTTCCATGATTTCATCTGAGTCTCCGGAATTCGGATCTGGTCAAAGATTCTCGCGGAAAGAGAGCCCTGTAATGTAAACAAGATGAGGTTTATGAGTGAGTTTACAAGAAGACCAACCATAGCCATTCGAATCACATGTTATAACCGTTGCGTTAGTGACACTTCAATGACTTCCTACTCCCCACTTAAAAAAACCGTAACCAGTGGCAAATAATTTCCACGGGCTGGAGAGGAAACACGAGTTCCTCGTTCCCGTCAGACTTTATAGTTTACCTTCCTATGCTTGCCCCCCGAGTTCCCCGCCCGGCTATGCAACATTCGTTTGATTCACCGTTCGAATCATGTTATATCTTTCGAGTTTCCCATATCGGCTAATTTACATTACCAAGATTCCCCGTTCAGGCCATGGTACATCTCCCAAATTCCCTGTCTCGGTTAACATATATATCTTAAACTCCCAGTTTAGGCCATGCTCGATTCCCCTAGTCCCCAGGCCCGTCTCGGCTACGCTTCATTCTCCGGATTTCCTATGAGCCATGCGACACTCCCCCACCCACCCCACCCACGCCCCCAAGAAATTGCTGTCCTTGTCTTTGCAGGTCGCATCCATTGGGTTACCCTTTCACTGAGCTAAGCTGAGACTCCTTGCGAGTGAGACTATCTACCAGGTTGGCAATTTCACTCCTTGCCTTTCTGTCCCAGGGTCTATCGAGAAGCTCTCTCGTGTGATGACGAAATATATCATCGTAGACGACTCATAAGAAGTTGGTCTTACATCATGTTATACCATTATTCTCTGCGCCTCTCTGCCCGACATTGCATTGAGATCGTAAGGAAAGCTTACAAAATTTTCTTCTTGGGGAATCAAATGGATGGCAAATTTACCGAGTGCCTTGTTAAAAAACTCGGTACTCTATAGTTTTTCCTGTTTTGGCATCGTGACATGCATTTAAGCAGATTGCTAAGGAACGTTAATTACAGCCTCCTTAAAAAGCAATCTTCCGCAAAAGCTTTTAGCAGTATAATCACATTCATGCACCCCAGGTAGCAAACCTTTTCCGCTCCCTGAATAGAATTTGCCGAAGGTTTCTATTTTTTGCTAAGTTCTCGCTAGCAACCTGCACCGTCATTGCGTTCAATTAATATCGAACTACGTCAATATGATGCAAGTGGAAATTATTATGTTATTCTCTCTGGAATTTCTCGTGAAATTATCAGTTTTGTGCCTATAACAATAGTCATGAATGCAGTTTGCTTTCACCGGTTTCGTTCCGAGAATTACAGTGCTATCAAAACAATTCGTCGATAATACTCGCAAAATTGTTGCGTTAGTTCATTCCGGAAATAGTTGTGAAATTACTCATTACAATCTTTTCATAATGCTTAATCATGACATACTGCATTTATTAGTATTCCGATACAGAAAATATTAGTTGTAAAAGCTAGCTTTGAAAAGTAATGTTTTACAATTACATCAGTTAATGGAATGGTGTTTATTTCATCCATAATTCTCATGCCAGAGTATATCAGGAAATGGTGTCTGTAAATAGCAATTTGGTAACTGAACAAATTTGTAATTTGAAATTGAGCCGAACAACAGATCCAGAATCTATAACAAATGCGTTGCCAATGAGAAGCGTTTCAATCAATACTTCGTCTTCATTTCAGAATTCTGAGAAAATTTTCGAAATAAAATTAATTGCTTTAACATATACATCCTCACTGATTTCAAATGCTATTGAAATTGTTTTATGAGGTGGCCGATCACGTTAAACCTCCATATTTCAGAGAATCTCAAACACTGAAGACGAGAAATACTTGTTCAGACTCGAACGACGAACGAACTCAGAGCTGATTTCAAAATACCTTTGATTACTTAACCTGGCACTATCGTCTTTAACAACATAAATGCAAATAAATCTGTGCTGCAAAACAAAAACTTCTTTAGAATTTAAAAGTGGATAATTGCTTAAGGCGGGAGGCAAAGTTTCAGATGAATGGCAAAACTATTCGACCTTGAGTCAACTTTCCATTCAAAACATTGGTTATATCGTGATGTTATAACTCGAACTGAAATTTATCGAATGGGAATGTGATATCGTGAGGCGTGGAATCCTTATTGCACGCACTGAAAGGCAATATCAAGTGATATATTTTGGGCACAGAGTCTTTTATTTTCGTCAGCAACATCGCGTGACATTACAAGAAAGTTGGCTAATATAATTGGTTTGGATGGAAACAACTGTTATGGATTCGCTCCAAACCGGAAATAACAAGACGAAAATGCAAGCGAATGTAGTGTGCAAAAAACATCAATCGTGCGTATAGATGACAATATAATCTTTTGATAGTAAGGAGCTTTATAAACCGAAACTTGCACATTCCTATGATAAAAATCCACGGCCTTTCAGCGCTATCCACACTCAACATGAGATTGAAGAATTCTTTGACAGAAAATGCACTTTGGCGATCACAGATTTTTTCAACTTTGTTTTGCTCTTTAGGGCTAGTGAAAGTAAAACTGCGTTGAATCCGGAAAGAATGCTCAGAAAGTTTCTGTTTTAGTGCATATTTCAGCCCTTAACATTTCTACATTCAAAAAACCTCAAAATTAAAATTACAAAAAGTAAAAATAAAAAAAATACGAGTCTCACATATATACATACACACGTTTCAAGAATTCAGTTTATGTCAAATGAAATACTCCAGGGTCTCATGCAAAGACATAAAAGAAGGAATTTCCATTTACAGCTCAATTTAAAGCAGCGCACGAAAGAAGTACTTTCATTAGAAACTGCGCAACACCAATTGTATCATTCTTAAATTTTGAAGTTTGAACCACCAACAGTGCAGCATGAGAAAGTATTATATATGATGAGCCTTACCTAAATATGATAACAGATTGGATCTTGAGTTTTTAGCCACCATGATCTGAGAGCACAGCTGAAGATAAATTGATATCTATCCATTGCAACATTTCAAATGTTTAGATTCGAACTAGCACGCAGTTAGTTAACATAAAACACGAACTTTTCACCTTTTCGACGAACATTTTTGCTTCCATTTAAAATATGCTTTTGTTTCGCCTAAGTCACAACATACCAGAGCTAGTTAAGGCTACGATAGCACCCAAATTAAAGGGCTCAATATAAGAAGGTTTTTCTTGGACATACCTTTTTTCTTGTTCGACTTCTACCTATATGAGAAATTCCTATACGCTTCGTGTCCGTAAAAGTTATAACGATGTTAATTTTGATGCGTCGTACGTTTTCGTAACCTCGATTTAGTTCATACGGCTCGAAGCGCGCTTACACATCCAGTGATCTTCATGCTCTATTTACCAGCAAAGCACTGAATCACTTTATTCAAGTACTCTTGTCATACAAAGTAAATTAATCACCCTTTTTCAACGAGGTGTCAAAGAACTACTTTGTCTATTAAATTAAGGGCGACCGGAGTCCAATCCTTCTACGTGCCCTGGTCAACGCTCGCGCGGCACTCCGCCATCTTAACTGCAGGAAACATCATTATGCTTTGTAAAACTTTCCGGGTTCAGTCTTAGAAGCTCGGGTATTGATTCTAGGCGTGTCTATGCATTCCTCCACTTCATTGATTGATCTAAACATTTTTAGATGACGTAAATACGAAAAACTGCTTTTGTATGTGAACAGTAAAACAATTTCCCCGTAGGGTCCTCGTGCCAGAATATTCCTTGATGCGCATCAAACGTGCAGATTTAACAATTAACGGCGACCAAAAAATGATAGTTTGCTGTCTCAGCTTTTCCTCCATTTTATGGCCATACTCTTGCATAAGTATCTCCTCGGCTTGAGAGACAGCAGAATTCTCGTAAAGTAGCGTTTTTGTGTGTTTTAAGTGACAGAAATCGTCTCGCACCGAGCATTATGCAAGTTAGGATGTTTACCAAATCGGCATTTTCTTTCGTTGTTTGTAAACATGGAGTCGCTCTTCCGAGATTTTACGTCAAAAAACCGCAGCCAAATGCGACTATGGCTATATTTCCGTTCCTTTATTCGCTTAGACACAAGTTGCGGAACTTACTCGAGCGTATATTATATATCATATCTATAAACAAGCACGCGTTCAAATGAAACGCTCTAAACATTAAGTAAACCTACCTCTAAACAAATATTACACATAAACCGGAGAGAGATGCTTCCTTTATGAACTGCTCTTAAATTTGATTTAAAAAACATAACAGGTTACCTGAGTTGAAGGCGTCACTTCTTGTCCAATCTAGATGACTAAAAAAAAATTCCCACTTTGCATATTGTCTCGAAGTCGTACTCTTCAGTCCAAACGATACCGTTCAAAGCGCATGCACGGAACTTCAAGATGACTTTCGAAACTTGCCAAGAGCTTGAGTTTTATCACTCCTAAACTTGTACGCTCTGACCAAACTCAGATGCAGCGAAAGTTTGAATGTAAACGAGGAACTTAAGAGACTATTAACTCTAGCACTTCGATCTACGTAAGAAGTTCACGCTCCAGCGAAACTCTATAAAACATGAAGAGGTTCTCGAACACAAAGCACTTATATACCTCTTTACTTCCAAAATGTATAATATTATGCATCTTTACTTCCAAATATATAATATTATACCTCTTTACTTCCAAATATATAATATTATACCTCTTTACTTCCAAATATATAATATATTGAAATATATAATATATTGAAGTAGCAAACGTTTTGTTTTAACTACATCATTGAGGTTTAAATAAAGCGAAAAGCAAACTAGACCCGCGAGAAAATTCTTGATTGGAAGTGTGTGCAGTAGTAAGTTTCAGCCACCATTTAAATATTTGCGTGCATGCAGAGAACGACAAAGTCCAAAGCTCTCTGACTTATCCTCGGGCAAATTTGCTCATATTTCAACTTCGTAACATGTGTCTGCACGCGAGAAGTTTTGCAAAAAAGCTGACTCTCAAATAATGCGGATATTTTCAATGGCTTTAACACCACAAATGTTTCTCTTAACCGAGATGTTATCTACGACAGCAATTTAAAAATTTATTGACGAAGATATTACCCAAACAAAAATGTGTCTAGACAAATGTTCGAAAAGACAATTTGAGCGTTTGAAACGCTGTCACGAGATGTTTTTCTCTCATGAGTTTGTGGTTTGGGTCCGGAAGGAGCGAGTGCCGGAAGTGAAATTCAAGTCCTCCCAAAATACTCAACGCGATATTGAATCCTAGAAAGACCACTTTCGCCTTGTTTACTACATTTGGACACGCTATTTTGGCGACGAAAATGAATAGAGACCTTGACCTCGATTCACCGGATTCTTAGACTAGCACAACTATAAGAATGTAGGTGATGTGGGAAGCTTTGTTCTGTTCTTCGTGAGCAAGAACTGTGCATAGTTGTTTTTACTCGTGGTAATTGAGATTTGCCGTTCTCGGAAAAAGAAAAAATAGCTATTGTCTATTTGTCTGTGTCGCCAAGTAGATTTTAAATAGGAAGAAAGGCGAAAAGCTAACATAGTTTTCCCGCCAATTAGACGCTTGTTTGTGTGCCCGCCAGTAATGTAGAGATGCTTATGTTTGTTGGCGCGTCAAGGATCAACGCATGCGCTTTTCAAACCATGGAATTCGAAGAGATAACTCTCCAGTGAAGGCAAACAAAACGAGTGACACAACTATCTGCAGCCGTTTCGATCTAACATGTGCAGCTGAGCTTTATCTCTTTAAAAATTGTAGATTAATATTTCCAGGGAATCAATTCGAGTGACTCGAATTCACGCAGCAAATATCTTTCAAGCCCTGTTTGAACAGACTGGGAATGGCGGAAACACTTATTGATGTAATTTGATTCTTTCATACAAATTATACATACAGGCTTGAATATCTTTTCTGAAATACCACGGCGTTTAATCATCCAGTCAGCTATAGCCTTTAGAAGTTTGACTGTTGTTGTGGATGGTCAAATCCTGTTCGAAGCGAATACTCAACTACAGTTGCAAGGAAATATGTGAAATTACATTCATTTTCCTTTTGAGCTTGTAAAAACTCGCTTTGAGCCGATCTGGTTAAAGTTCATCATTTCAAGGAAGTGATAATTGGCAAGTTTAGAAGAAAAATCGAGTGAAAAGGATCCTATTTATACAAAGTGATCGATTGAATTTCAACAAATAGAGAACTTGTTCTCTATGGGGCAACGAATTTGCAACTTTCGCCAGAAGATTTGCGTGAAGGAAAATTTCAGTTTTGAACTGATATGCCGCTAAAAACATGTTAAAAAATGTTGTATTGTTAACCAACAGCTGATGTATTTAAGTTGTATTAAATTATATCAATAGGCTTTGCTCAATGTTTACAGAATTAGCATTTTCAACAGCTATCAACAGAAAACGATTTAATCAAATTATTTTCAGAGTGTTAATTGCTCTCTGAAAATAAGTGGTAATGTCTTCCTTTTTTTCATAGTTGAGACAATTTGTTGGTATTGGCAAACATTCATGGCTTAGTTTCAAATAAAAAAGTGTCATGGGAAACATTCACCCCCAAAGAGTGACTAGTAAATATCGATTATTACTGAGACCACATTCTGTAAATTTTGGCCTCAAACATATGCTGTGCGACGAAATATTTAAATGAAATCTTTCCACATTTATTCTTTTTTTAGCGGGCTAGGAAGGGAGATTTGGGCCGTTTGAAGAATACCACATTAAAACGAAACCATTTTATTTCAGAGAAATTTAAAATTGTTTTAGAAATCACAGATCTTACGTTCTTGGAAAACTGGTGTAAACATTGCATAGAGATATACAATTCTTTGTTTGTGAAAAAAGCAATTTCCAAATGGTTTTCGCACCTTTTGATATTAATGAAATAAACATTTAGAACCCGTGAAATGTGTGCAAGGCATCCGCAGCGTTTTACAGATAAAGGACGAAATTGTTTTCAAATCAAAAGCAGTTGATGATAATTTGGCATAGGTGGACGACTTAGCTTATCGGCTGAATATCTAAACCAGAAAACATAGGGCGTGTTACCTTTTCACAAGCTACTGTTTAATTTTATAAATTGTTGTGAACATCTTTCGTCCTTTTTCAGCGTGATCGAAAATTTCTCGATCCATTGTTCGCACCTCTCTCCGTTACGACTGACTCCAAAACTTTTTGCCTCTGATTTGCTTTCAGCCCTTTCGAGGTTTGTTTAAAAATTAAAATGGTGCTAATTTATATTTATTTCATGGAGAGTAGAGAAGCCTTTCGTCAACTTTACGTTATGAAGAGGCTAGCTACCGATTTCTGAACATCACTCGAGTGACCCCGGATCTGCTTTCTTGTCACGAACTTAAACTCTAAAGAGCTCTAAAGCTGTAAAGCGTATCGAAAAACAAATACTGTTTTCACGAAACAACAGAAACCATTTAACCACAGCACAAAGAACAGGAAAGCTAAAACGTCAAGGCCATTTTGTAATTAATACCAATTAGGAACACAGTCTCCGAAGCTATTAGCTGCTTTCACGTTTTGCTGCAGCAAAAGAAAAGATCGTAATACCATTCCAGGGAGTGCTTTTGACCTAATAATTATATCAAGGTTGTTTTGATGATCAGAGCATTATCTGTGGTCAGCCAAAACTATTTTAATTTTGGGAAAATCAATTTTGTATCTTAGGTAATACACGCAACATTGACAGAAAAAAACACGAAAAAATCAAACGACTCCAGAATTTCTAGCTTTTCAAAGAAAACGCTGTTGGTATATATATTTTTTAAGGGTCTTATAAAATCAACTTTTAATAGGCTGATCTCTAAACTACCCATTTCTAAACAAATGTCTGTTTGATGCAAATTCAAAAAGTGCACATGTCTTTGTAAATCTCCGTATTATTTGCTAGCTTACAATTCTCGAAAAGTGCTGTAGAAATATGGAGAGATCATGATCCTCGCTTGAGAAACACTGCAGCTAAAAAGTTGCACATCCGCTTGGAATTGAAATATTAACCACAAATTAAGTTTTATCGGTGACTTTGTGTTTGAGATGATAGCACTCTTCTCAATTTAGCTCGATACTTTATCTCAAACGATAGGAGGTCTACGAAGTCATTCCCGACCCAGGATTCGTGACGCCGTCATTGTCTAGAGAAAACGCAAACATGATGAGCTGGCAGCCTTTTACAAAAGGCCATTAGTATTGCCAATATGTGATGTTCGACCAGATAGGCTCAAAAATGCGTTATTATACCACTGTTCTAGACGGCTCGGCGCCAGTATCCAGCAACGCGTTTGTCTAAAATATGATAATTTATCATGACCGGTTCGTACATGTGGCGAGGTACAAAATCTCTTAAAAAGTGTGCGCTCCGAACATTCCGGAATAGCATCATTCGAAAGTGCTTAGCTTCGCAAAGTTTGTTGTAATTTTGTTCAAAGCAGTGTATTGGAGAGCGTTTCAGAAATTTAACGACGTTTAAAGCTCTATTTTTTTCCGTTTTAAGAAGTGAGGTATGTTTCCAAACCGTGGGTTTGAGACATTTATTTGTAAATATCCCACTGTGTATCAGTGATCAGAACATTTCTACACGCTAAACAATAACTGGAAAGTTTTAAAACAGAATAAATTGTTGGCAGGACAAATTTGCTCTCTGCACGAAAAAAAAAAATTCAAATTCTCGAAAGTTTTGCCATTGTACACTGGTCGAAACAAAGAATCATTCCCTGCGAATGTGACCAAGGATAAAAGGAACTGAAACAAAACCTTGATTCGGCGAAAACTTAAACGGAGAACATCTTACAAAGCTTTATTCGGTGTACAAAGCGCGGCTACAATGTTCGCAGTAAATATCGACTTCCCGCAAAGCATAAAACTAAGAATCTAAGCCAACTTTCCCGAGCCACAAAAGAAGTGTTTAGCTGTCTCAAAGTTAGATTTTGTTGGCCGGGTCATTGATAGCACAGGCTAGAATGCACACGTAGACTTCGTGAATTTTAATATTCGGCTTTCATCGAAACAGATTTTTATATCATTGAATCAGCTTCTGCTCTCAATTTTGACCAAGTAGCAGGAGCTTTCTCAGGACGAACGTCAGCATACACGAAAGCTAGAAATCCTTTGGATTGACTCATCTTAATTTTGTAATTATATTTAACTTGGTTACAATCTGAAACTTATTTAACAATTTGTGGTGTTAGATTCGAAATATATATTTGAGTTTTAAAGCTTTTCATCTCGTCAAATAATCTTCCACTTCTATATAATACAGAACAGGCAAGTTTGTTTGTTTTGGGGTAAGTGATAGTAATGTACTAGTCAATACATTGGATTCTGTCATTTGTTTGAAATCCTTACATCTCCAGTTTTTGGTCTCTTAATTTCCAAGCAATGAGTTTTGCGATTAAAACTTGCAAGAGATCAAAAGTAGGCTAAGAATTATCTCATGGCGATTTCAAATATATCTATGTTTTAAACGAGGCACACACATTAGGAACCGAAACGCAAATTTCACAGACCTGTGATATCCCGCACTTTCCGGCGTTAGATAAATCTTCGTATAACCCGCGCCTGCGCCAGTTATTTTTGTCAAACCTGTCCAAGCTGCCTCCGTAATAAGGCCAATTTTCCATGCTAGCTATCGTCCGCGAACGTTTAAAATTTTAGCGACTCGGCAAGTGCATAGTTAAACGGTCGAACAGATATGAATAGAACTGGTACAGCCCTCGCTACAATACTAAAGACCTTGGGTAATTAGATTCGTATTGTTCAATGCCGTTCGCCAATAATCACGAAGCAATTTACACGCGGACACTGAGCACGTCACACAAGGTTACACGCCAAAGACTAAACCAACAATATTGTTTGCGATAAACTTGATATGGCTCTTTCAAAATCGACGGTTTGTAAAGAAGAATATTTTATTCGAAACCAAAACATATTACGTAGAACAAAGAGTGTTTTGCGACGTTCGAATAGGGTAAACCCGCCTATATCAGTCAATGTTTTTTCAACAAGATAAGAACGTTAAAGAAGTATTAAAACATTCTCTCTAACAGATAATCAGTGAAATCCGCTTAAAGCTTTTAGAGCAAAGATTTAAACAAAAGAAACTTCTTTATTTATTGTTAAATTTTCGTTCCTTTAAAACTCAATATTAGCAGCCTTGAAATGATGGCATTTTCCTTGCTTATTCTACCGAAGACGGACGATTTGATTCTTAAATACACATAAATACTTTCTTGAGAAGTCAAAGACTTGTATATCTAAACAAAATTCAAGAGGACTTTTAAGCCAAGCAGATAGTTATCGCCTATTTGAAGGGTGGCGAAATATAATGTAAATCCATTAGCGACTTAGACAAAGTGATAAAAATGTTCTGTCCGTTGGAGGATAAAAACTTGGTCATTCTATGCAAAAACCTTTTGCGTTCTTTCCTTACACTCGTCGCACGTTTTCAACGCGTGGCATAAACAAAAGAACTTTATTTTAGGTTGTGAGCTCTACGAAACCTAGATTTGTTTTTGGGGAGTGTTAGATTCATTAACTATCTTTTGATCATCCCTGAGCACAAAAGCGAAAAGTAAACTAATGGCCAAATTATCAAACTAACTCTTCGAAACGCGTGTCAGATGCAACATGAAACCCGAAGAGACTCGTGCTTTCCGGGTTCGGTATCTTTGAACTGAAATGGTCGATTTTCTTCAAAGAAAAGCGCTTCAGTCTTTTAAAATTTAATTTCAACCGCTTGAAACTTATTTGAAAGCTCTGACAGGTTTTAATGAACCTTACAGCTTTAACCGGATACTGATAAAAAATTGGTCAACATTTTCCGAGTTCGAAAGTAATGGCAAATTACAGTGTAATACAATTTTCTTGTCGCCGGTAAGCTCTTTAATCCAGAAGAATAATATCATAAATTACTTTACCGTAATTTCCTGCAATAATTTTCTTTTTAGGCCATTGATAATCGTAGTGAGCACAATGGTTATGGTTGCCATTAGTAAGGGAAACAAAGACACAGAGGAGTTTCCCAGAATTTCTATTTTTATTTGTTGAAGCAATATTACTACACTATCTAAGAAAAAAAATATCATCTTTAAATTCGGAACACGACGATAAACGTTTCCACAAATAGCTGGAAGAAGGTGCTTTAGTTTATATCTGTTAAACAGAAATATTTCACTGAATAGAGGGGAATATTGGAGGTGTTTTAGCCAGGGGTAAAAACTTAACAAATAAACTGTCCTGAAAGCGCAGGTTGGCAGGCATACAATATCGTTGATTCACTGTCTGCGAAATGCATTAGTAATGTCAACTCATATTCATAGCTCTTCTGTTTGTTGTTGAGAGAACACATAATGATCAAACTCACAAACTAATCGGAAGGATTTCCTTTCTGACAAAGGCAAGCTAAGCCGACATTGGTAAACAAAAGAATATTTTGTGCAATGGCCTCAAACGTTTCCTATGGGAGCAACCTGGCTATAAGCAAATGGTACCCTTTGAATTTTTTTAACGAGCGAAGATAAAAAAAAAAGCTGCACCAATTGAAAGCAGAAATGTACATTCAAACCAATCGCCGTAGGTTTTATGCTTGGAAAAGAATAGAAACGCACAAAAAGAGGATAAAATGAGAGAGAAATTGAATAGATTGTACGCTGTGTACAGTTAGCGAGATCGATTTCCATGGCAATCACTATGAGCTACAACACCCCATAAACAATAATGTACTGGCCGACGTTTTCTAAAAGCGCGCTCAATGGCACGTTGCTCTAGAAGATAGTTGTAATTTAAGCTTCCATTTTTTAACTTATCGGAAGGGCAAATGTTCATTTTTCACTATCACCAAATGTACCACAAGAACGTGCTCGGAGACCGTTTACTGCTTCGCGATCTGAATCGCACTTGAACACCTTGAGAGACGTCTCGTGCGACATGATAAATCAGGGGAATACAAAAACAATGCCATCGTATAGCTCAGTCTTTTGCTTTTATTTACAAAACCACGCTTGTGGTTTTTGCAAGCAAGTCTGTCTGCAGTTAAAAGCGATTCGTGCCGCGTGAATAAATAACACCACGAAATGTGCTTGTAATTACAAATGGTTTTTAAATACAGTCTTCACTGTCTCCACTAACTCCTCTTTGTTTTCTCTTCGTCTTAAACAAGAAGTGCTGCTTCGTAAGCCAAACACTGAATTTTTACCCCACAAAAGTACTATTTGAAAACCATTTTCACCGAGGAGTTTTCATCACCTTGTACAGCGTAGTAAATATTACGACATGACAGTACTGCTCAGACGCTTCCATTTGAAAGGTCAAACACAAGGATTTTATGTTGACAGACTTTCTGAAAATGCTTAACTTGCCTCGCCCATAAATTACCATAGCAAATGAAAGAAATGTTTTAGTAACTTTCAGTTGAGTAACACACCAAGGTTTCACCCACAAATTTTAAAGACAGAATCACTTTTCACAGCATTAAACTACTTCATGAAATAAGGGGGTAAGTTTCTAAAGAAACTGTGCTGCTGCATCGGTGGGGGGCATTTCAAGAGAGAACGATGAAAAGCTAACAATCGAGACGTCGGCTTTAGTAATTCTTTACGGCGGCCAATTTACATCATCGAGACAGCTGATGAAACCAAATATTCTACTTCGTGATGGTACCGCTTGGTAGCTTCCATTCGATTTATACTTCATTTTTTTTCATAATATTTTTTCTCCAATGCGTTAAGACGCAACAGTAAATTCTACCCGCCTTGCAGAGACATTGTTGGCAGGAACAAACAAAGAGGGATTTATTTCCAAATTCACACACAGGAATTTTTTTCTTTTTTTGGGTGGAATAGGAGAGGATAATATAGCACTGATCTCTTTGTCTCATTCCGCATTGAAAAAGCGTTTCCATTTTTAAGTAACTGATATCTACACCTCTGTTCCTTTCTAGCTAAAAAACATAATTAATCCCATGTGCTCTCTGTACTGAGTCGAAGTTCGCTTTGAAGTCATTTGAATAAATGAAATTTGACATCGGAATTTAAAATCCAAACCGGTGAGAAACTTTCTCTTTCCGTGACTCATTTAGACACAAATGCCTTTTTAACTTCGCTTCGCAGCCTCGAAAGCGGTCAAGAATAAAGTCCGGTTTTTCGAGCAATATAAATTACGAGTCAATTATGAGTAATACAGAAATTCCAATCTTCTCTCAAAAGGTTTCAGGTGAACTGTAAGTTTTCTTTCCCTTAAACCCTTTGACTCCTAAGAGTGACTAACATCTAATTTCTCCTTACAATTTCACTCCTGAATCAAGCATTATGTTCACGAGAATAATAGAACTGATCACCGACTAAAGAAGCTCTTGTTTGCTAAGCAAACTCTCCTTGTCAGCACCACAGGAAATGTGTAGTGAACAGTATGGAAAATATGCATATTGATGTTGGCGTGTTAAGGGTTAATAAACTCTAAGAGAAATTAGCGTACTGAAGATAAAACACGAGTAAAAGGCTTGGTTTCGTGCTAGCTGATGTCCGCTGGTATTTCAGTTTCATTATCTCGTTTGCGAAAATATTATACTCTCATCTGACATCTGAAAAACCTGTTTTTTTCAACATCCCTCGAAGTTTCATGCTACGATGCAACCGGAAGCCACGCGGAAAATTTACACCCTGATGTGCTTTGAAACATATTTAAGTTGTTGGTATGTTTACGAGATCTTCACTGCGGAAATGTTTGACACAACGTCAAGGAAGCAGCAAAATATTTTAATGAAATATCCATCGTACTTCTGAATATGGGAACTTGGGTACATTCATTTAGACTAATATTTGCAAGCACATCCTTGTAAAAAGTTCATACTGTTTGAATATCGGCAGGCTTTTCTTTCTCTGTTTATTTAAGAACAGCGTGTTTTCCTTTTTCTCGTTAGTTTTGTGCAAACGTTATGTCGTTATCTCAATATTTATGGCCTTCAATAATGCTGAAAGATGCTGAATGCGTGATAAGGCCCAGAAGTTACTGTTAAGTTGCAAACCTGGCGGAGATTTGTAAAGGAAATTCCCCCATTAATTGCAGACTCTTCTGAAAGGTATTCGCATACAGATCATATTTTTTAAATCTACAACTCATCAAGTCGGACCGAAATTTTTAAAATCTGCCTCTCAAAATCTTAATTCAAGTTAGATTTCTCAAAGCAGCTTAATTTCCTTTACCGCTTTTAACATTGCAGTACCTTATTTTAAAATTTAGCTATGAAAAGTTTTTTACATATCTGCAAATCTTTTAAGATTTGCAGATATGTTAATAATTTTAAGGTACCACCAAAGCAAGGAAACATTTCTCAGGTCCTTCAATTGACAGAAATGAAAAGGTTGTTTGCTTTAGCAATTAACAAGCACTTTGTGATTAATATTATAACAATTGATGTATAGCGCTCATTCACTCAACAGATTATATAACACTTCCAGCTGGTAGACCTAGGAGTTAAATTTCGCTCCAAACACGAATTTTTAAGTGTAGCGCTTTCAAACTTTTGCCGGACCTTAACACTGAAATAACTGCTACGAAATGAATTATTGAGTTGTCTCAGTGATGAAGTACGCAAGAATGTTTATGGAGCCAGCATATAAAGTTA